CTCTAGGATCAGGTCGGTTGATATATTAGCGAGACGTATAAACCAACTGAACAGATCTTTATTTATTCCGTTGCTTTAATCTCTGATTTACGTTTAATTTACCGACCACACTGGTTCTGTTTTTTCGCTTGATAGAAAATTTTCCAAAAATGCAACTTTAGTTAGACTGGTATGTGCAATGAAAAAACTTTCTAATGTCGTCCATGTTTATATTTTCATTCAAAAAAAGCTTAAGTGTTTTCTGATTCTTTAAATAGTAGTGCATGTCGGCCTCCTAAGCATTGCAAAATCTTTCTTTTCAAAATCCCAGCCAACTCAATACACTATTGATAATACTCTGCTTGTCTCACTGTCATAGACCATGATCCAACCACCAAACTACATTTTGACTTCACCAAATTTCACATCTAATGCTACATATTGTTAAACATGCATGATACTTTATTGCCTCTGGCTCTCTGTCTGTGATTCTACTTTTTCCGTTTCTTTGTGGACAATACAAGAGTCAATCAATTATCCTAATTTCATTATTTATTAAGCTTTTACCTAATGAACTCAATTATTATTAAGAAAGAATCTAATGTAACATAAATACACAGACATATCTGATATTTTCAATCCATCAAGATGCACATACAACTTTGTAAGAATGTCCTGAGAGCTAATAGCTTCGTCTCTTTTGGCAGATCAAAAAAATTCCCTCCGAAGCTTCCCAATAGAGAGATAGAGGCTTATGCTTTTAACACTACATGTCATATTTTGGTGCTTTCAATCTTGCCTTGGAGGAGATGCAGCTGTTGTTTCTCTCGTTGTACCTGCAACAACCCGGTTTTAGACAACTTTGAAGATGATGAGAGAGTTCTTAATTTGCTGATCATTCATTACTCATGGATTAAGTCCGACAGATGAAGGCTAACCATTGGGCTGGCTTTCTCCGGTAGGTGTTTGTACAGTTCTGGGTTGTAGCGGTTCTTGAGTCTGAGTTTGATCCTCTGTTTGGCTTTCAGCGGGAGATGAAGCTTTAAGCTGCTCTTCAGTGATCTTTAAGTAATCCTCCGTTGTGTACGCTTTTGGTGATTGAGCATCATCTGCTTATTTCAATCAAAAAATCATCTTAGCTTAGCTTCACTACTTCTCCATTCATGAATATAAACATAGCAAACATCGAAACGTTAACAGTCCGTTACAAATTAGCTAACGCTTGAGGAGCTCATGGTCTACACTAGACGAATCAAACTACTTTCTAATATGCCTCAATCAAATGCCCAGTATGCTTCCATTTTTGTTAGCAAATCAAATCCGAATATGTTTCCAGAACCAAATGGCAGTATCTTTGTTTAACTTGGTTTGGTGTCAATTGGGTGAAAGATGAAGAAGAACAAAAGCATATGCACATAGTAAAGTTAGACCACTCACTGGGATCATTTGCAGTCACAGGAGCTTCAGTGCTAGGAACTGATGGTGGTGGTGGTGGAGGAGGAGGAGGTTGAACAAGATTCGTTCTGTTTTGGTTGTACACGTTTGGCGTTGAGATTTCATCAAGGCCAATTTCACGCTCAAGGGTACTTTTAAAATCTCTAGAAACATCCTAAAACAAAAGACATGTAATCAATCAAAAATAGTTAGCACATATACAAACCAATCTCATTGTTTCTCAAAGTCTTGAGATAAAAGAAAAAACAAACTTGTAGCTCTCTAATCGTTGGCTGAAATGTACGCAGAGTTTTTCCAAGATTCCGAGCAACCTGCACGGAACATAGCAAGTAAAACACTTCTTCAATGATCTAAAGCAACTGTAAAAGACTACATGGAGAAGAAACAGTGATATCTTGAGCTCTTTTCTCTTCTCATTCCCAAACTCAAGACTCTCAAATGCTCCGTAAAGTAGTCGAACGAGTGGAATTCGTAAAATAACAAAGAAACTTTCTCCAAGTTAAGATGTTTGATCCAGAGAGAATCAAACTCAATTAAGCCAAAAGCTCATCCATCTCTAGCCTTATCGATACACTATACTCCAATTCTCCTAAGATAAACTAAACAGTACTAATTCATAACTTGCTTTAACCTTAAAAAGCTATGATTCCAAATCAATGATCAAGAAAATTGTCACACAAGACGTCAAGATACAAACCTCAGCAAGACCTTTAGGACCAAAGACTAACAAAGCAACAACACCAATAACCAAAGCCTCAGGTGCTCCAACACCAAACAAAGACGCACGAATCATCATACTCTTACATCTTCTCTTCTTCTCTGCACAAAAACCACTAAACTTCAGAAAAATTGAACAACTTTTACAAAACCCAGAAGAATTGAAGTAAAGATAAGAAAAATCCACACCTGGGTTTGAAGATTTTGGCGAGATTGAGATGCCCAAATGCTTTAAACCAATGTAAGGAGAGAAACGAGAAGAACCCAGAAGAGAAAACCATGAGGAGAGGTTAGGTTTCGAAGCTTTATATGAAGATTGCAGAGGAGGATAAGAGAAAAGGTGAGATTTTGTAATCGTTGGTGATGAAGAAGAAGAAGCTATTATCTGAAACGCCATGGCCATGGGCAGAATTGTATTATAGTTTTGTGTATAGCTTCGTAGACTATCTTAAGCCATAACTTACTTCATCATCTTCATCACCAATCAAATGTCCATAGCTTGAAAATGAAATAACGCTCAGAAAAAGATAAAAAAGAAAATCTAAATTATCCTTTGGAAAATCTGAATGAGATAGTCGCAAACACAGAAATATTGATTTTTTTTTTCTTTTTTCTTGACCAATAGCAAATGGGCCGTTAAAAATGTTTGGGCTACATGTTTTGGGCCTGAGCTGAGTCCTTTGGTTGCTCTCTATCTCTTGGATAAACTCTCTCTCTAAATTAACTACATTGTGGATTGCAAGTCTCAATCTTGTTGAGATTAGCTTAATTTTAGATTGAGATTGAGTGAACTCGCTTGTGTTCTTTCGATTCTGTTTTGTTTTTACTCTCAATCGAATCGAATGACAAGTGAGATTTGTGGTTATAGTTCTTCCTCAAATGTCGAATCATAGGGATAATCTCAACAACAAGAAGTTCTTTTAAAGTTTTAGTTGAAAGCTATATTCTTTAGAAATTTTAATTCGATATGGATACACAACCAATTTGATTCATGTCTTGATTGGTGGTATTGAACTTAAACAACATTATTAATTATGGAAGACTTAGTTTTGAATCTTTTGATTGATGTCAATATGGTTTCATATCCTAAAAAGGTAAAAAGAAGAAGTGGCAAGGTTTACACGACGTGAGTCTTAAAAGGTTAAAAAGGAAGAAAGTAACAAAAGTAGAAAAAAGTAAGAAAAGAAAGGTAAAGGAGTGGCAAGTCATACACACGCACGAGGGTTTGCTCAAAAAGCCATCGCAGATTCACACAAAACAAGATGGTATGCGCACGTGTGCTTCTTATTGTTCCCAACCTTTCTCCAGTTATTTTAATCTTTACTTTATTTTACTAATGGCCATAGTTATAAAGTAAATAATAGTATAATATAAGGATAAAACACACTAATCCCTAATAACTATTGTGAATAATTAGAGAATAGTTTAGAAACAGTAGAGAAGAACATTCAAAAGAGGTACATTTTCTTTGCATGTATTAAAGCAAGTCTAGTTATAAAAAAGATTTAAAGTAAATTCTGAAACTTGAGATGAGTCACATGGGAGTTCCAATGATGAAGCGGCTTCTATTATATTACCTCACTTATTGATCGGTCCCCATATCATATGCGTACATAAAGGCTATATGGGTCAACTCTTCCGATGGTCTAATATTTTCTTCTTTCCTTTGAAGAAGTATATAATCATTCATTCTATAGGTACATTTGAGGACAAATAATTATTCTAAAAAAACCTACATATAGACATTGGCCAACGTTAGTATTTTACGATACTAGTCTATACACAATTTTTTTAAGTTCTAGATGTAATATACCCCTTTTTTAGAACTTTGATTTGAGAAAACCGACAATGCAGGGGAAAAATAAATGTTCACAAGAGTTCCCTTCTCTAAGTTTCCAAACTATTTTACTAGAATTTCTTCACTAGATAAAAATTCAATATGCATATGAGCATATCTACGGATTGAACCAAACCGATCAAACCCTTAGGGCATCATCAATGGGGGATCATGTGAGGGTGTTCTTATAGAGAATATAATGTTAAAATAATGTAAGATCATGTGTTTAGATCTTTTGTTTAGAAGTTGATTAGTGGGAGAACATGTGTAAGATCTTAAGACTTAATAATATAATAATCTAAATTAAATTAAGATTTTACAATTATTAAAACATTTTAAAATAACATATAAATTGCAAATGCCAAATTTATGAAAAACTGAAAATAAAAGTGAAAATACAATACTAAATATTTATGAAAAAAACATTAAAAATATAAATAACAATAAACAAACAAACATATTACTTAATAAAAGCACAAAAACATTTTATCTAATTAATACATAGTTTATTATCTAAATTTATTCCAAATATGTTGAATATTCCAACCAATGCCCAAATGCCACGTCACCCCGCAACACCCACAAGAACAGATCCAGGTCAAGAGCCCAGTTCCTGATCTTAAGCCCATTAACCCATTTTTTTGGATTTAAATAATGCTTAGATCAGGGGGTGATCCCCCAATGCAGATGGTCTTATATACCCTTCCAAATTATGTGACTAATCACAATCACATAATGCATAACTAAACATAAAAAAAAAAACTAATAAATCATTTGACAACTTTAAGTGGAAGCGCGTGTGGTGCATATGAAGGAACCGTCTAAAAATGTGATGACGTGGCAAAAGCTCGTGGTAAAATTGAATGAAAAGCTGGACTAGATAACGACCGGTGTGAGTGAGAGAGAGAGAGAGAGAGAATTCAATCCATCATTTATACAAAACCTTTTAATTTTTATTTATCTATCCTCTTTCTCATTTTAATTTTCTCGGGAAAATCTCTCTTCATAGATCCAAGTGTTGGTTTCCGAGTAGTAGTAGTAGCAGCAAATCTGGATGTTATTGTCGGTGTGAATCTGGATTTCGAAATATGAGAAACGTTAATAATAGCGTTGAGACTGTTAACGCCGCCGCTACCGCCATCGTCACCGCCGAGTCTCGAGTTCAGCCGTCGTCTGTTCAGGTAAACAACTAACCTTCTTCTTCTTCTTCTAATTTTCCGATATTGAAAATGTGTTTTTCTTCAGATCAGTATTGTCTCTTTCTTTTTTTTAGATCGTGATTCCGAGATTTGTATCTTCTGTTTAATTGCTGTGGAAATTTGATCTGTACTTAGTTTTCAATTTCGCGATTTTGGTGTTTCGATTTTGATTTAAGAGTTACGAATTACGATTCTAGATCAGAGCTAAGATTTATGCAATTGGTGAGCTTATAGTTCTGGATTACACAATTTGGTTCTTAAAAAGGTAAAAAGATGAGTCGTTTGCTTTTTCAATCTTATTGTGGATTGGCTTTACAAGTCATAATAGCATTCATGATTAAAAAGGTTTAAAGTGTTTCTATTTAAGTTCATGTTTAGTAAATTTTTCCACACAAATTTCTCCAAAGGTAACTAAACAAGATAACTTTATTTCAAAAGCTTTTTACTTTGAGAAAGTTTTGTTGAAACAGTACTCTTATGTCTGTCTCTCTAAAGGGGATCAAGATGAGTCTAATTTTGTGTGTTTAAATTGTATAGAAGGGAAGATGGGGAAAATGTTGGAGCTTATATTCGTGTTTTGGAACTCAAAAGAACAATAAAAGGATTGGTAATGCTGTGCTTGTACCTGAAACTGTTGCATCTGGAGTTCCGGTGGTTACTGTTCAAAACTCAGCTACTTCAACTACAGTTGTTCTTCCATTTATAGCTCCTCCTTCATCTCCAGCTTCGTTTTTGCAATCCGATCCTTCATCGGTTTCTCATTCGCCTGGTGGTCAACTTTCTCTTACTAGCAATACTTTTTCCCCTAAGGAGCCTCAATCGGTCTTTACCGTTGGACCGTATGCTAATGAAACTCAACCTGTCACTCCGCCGGTGTTCTCTGCGTTTATAACTGAGCCATCTACTGCACCGTATACTCCACCTCCGGAATCATCGGTTCATATAACTACGCCTTCTTCACCTGAAGTGCCCTTTGCTCAGTTGCTTACATCTTCTTTGGAGCTAACTCGGAGGAATAGTAGTAGTGGGATGAATCAAAAGTTCTCGTCGTCACACTATGAGTTTCGGTCTAATCAAGTGTGTCCAGGGAGTCCTGGTGGTGGTAATCTAATCTCCCCCGGGTCAGTGATTTCAAACTCTGGTACATCTTCTCCTTACCCTGGTAAATCACCCATGGTCGAGTTTCGAATAGGCGAGCCTCCAAAGTTCCTGGGTTTTGAGCACTTCACAGCTCGTAAATGGGGATCAAGGTTTGGTTCTGGATCGATCACACCTGTTGGGCACGGTTCAGGGTTGGCTTCAGGCGCTCTGACACCAAATGGTTTAGAGATAATATCTGGAAACCTAACACCCAGCAACACCACATGGCCTCTTCAGAATCAGATCTCTGAGGTCGCGTCTCTAGCCAATTCAGATCACGGCTCTGAAGTCATTGTAGCAGATCACAGAGTTTCATTTGAGTTAACAGGCGAAGACGTTGCACGTTGTCTTGCAAGCAAGCTAAATCGATCACACGACAGAATGAACAACAATGACCGAATCGAAACAGAGGAGAGTTCATCAACAGACATAAGAAGAAACATGGAGAAAAGGTCAGCAGATAGAGAAACCGAACAGCAGAGAATTCAGAAGCTGAATTCCTCATCGATTGGATCTAGCAAAGAATTCAAATTCGACAACACGAAAGACGAGAATATCGAAAAGGTTGCAGGAAACAGCTGGAGTTTCTTCCCGGGGTTACGATCTGGAGTCAGCTAACCAAATAAAAACGACGTCTCTTCTTCTTCTTCTTCTTCAATCATTACCAAAGACAGATATAAAAACCCTATAAGTAACAAACCTTGAACATGGATCGTGAAAAAAGGTAAGAGATTTGGGTTCTAACAACTTATACACACTGAATAAATAAGCTAAAGCTTTCGTTTGCTATTAACTTCTGTACTCATGTAGTTAGGAACTTTGGAATATTCTTGGATCAGCTCCTACATCTAATCTTGTTACATTGATATAAATTTTTATTTCTTTTGTTACTATTTCACACAAATGTATCATTCGGATGTACTAGACTAAAACATTTTCATTTTTGTTTTTCCATCTGATCAATCTTGAAACAGAGATTTGGTTATTATCGTAAGAAATCTAATAAAATTGTGAACTACATAAACTGGATTGTTCAAAAGAAAACATCAAAATAATATACAGAAATAAGAAAAGAAATCACGATTAATCCTAAAACCAAACAGGACCGTTTAAACAAAAAGGGAAAGAAAACAACCAGAGCTGGAAACTAAGAAGGAACTAAACCGGGTTTCAATTCTCCTTATTATAACCGGAAATAAACCGGGTTTCAATTCTCCTTATCAGAACCGTAATACCTCTTGAAAGCTCTCGGTAGATAAACCGGAATCAAAACACCAAAGAGATTAAACGACCAAATCCCTAAATTCACCGCCGCCAAAACTTTTCCGGCATATATCCGCCGCACCGAAACCGTCACCGTCCCCGTCCCATCCTCCCTCGAGAACTCACTCATAATCCACTCCACAAGAGTCAAAACCCTCCTCGCGTTATAAACAATCGGAACAAGAATCCTCGCCGGAGCAGAGAACCCAAACATCGACGCCAATCCTTCCATAAAAACTTGACTCGCTAAAAGAAACACGTGTGGTGCAGCTGCGCTCACACCGTTCTTATCATCCTCCACGATTCCTTCGAAGATGTAACAGATCGGAATTATAAGTCCGATGATCCCTGCCGATGTTACATAGATACGGAAGATTTTGTTTGTGGAGCTTGTGAGAGGAGCGTCACGGTTTGGATTGTTGTGTGGAGGGAAGATAAGTTTTGAGAGGACGAAGAAGTAGATGAGTGTGAGGATCGTGAATATGAAATCTTGGATTGTTACGAGACCGCTTGCGGAGAGGACGAGGATTATTGCGAGGATGTTTAGTTGTCGGAATGAGAAGAATCCGGCGGGTTTTCCGGTGGATATTGTTGAGGTTTGGGTTTGATGTTCTTCTTCTTTTGGTAAGGTTATGTCGTTGTACGTTGGACCAACACCTCCAGACATTGTTTCGGTGTAAGCTTTTTTTTTTTTGTGAGAAAATTTTTGAGGTGGGAGAGAGAGGAAGATAAAAAGAGTGTGAAGAAGGGGACACGTGGCGGATGGCGAAGAGTTTGAATGGAAGAGGTTAGAAGACGTGGAGGATTTACAGAACTGGAGTTTTACTTTTGTCTTATTGTGCTCACAAATTAGTTAGATTTTTAACTATGTAATATATCTACGTTTTAACTTTTAAATAGGATAAAAATACTACTTTTTCCGTTTCATATGATATGTATATATATAAAATAATTATATTTTATTTTTACTTTTTATTATAAAAGTCGATTCAGAATATAGGTGATATATTCTTTTGCTTGAACCACAGAAATTAATTTCCAAATAAAAATCCTAGCAAAACAAATTTTAGTTCTGAAAATTATGTAGTGAAAAGGAAACTAATATTTACAAAATGTTTTCTTTTTCTTTTGCGAAGAAATGTTTAATGTTTTAATAATTAATCGCCAAAAGATTAATTATATGAGAAAAAATGAGAAGAAATGGAGGTTAATTAGGCAAATGGTGAAGACCACAACCATATATTTAGTGTAGTTGTCTATCTAAGTTACGTCGGGGTTCTTGCTAGCTTTCGGGGCCGATCGGTAACGACTGTTACTTTTGGCTTTAAAGACTTTCGCTGTAAAGACTTAGGCTGTAGAGACTTTTGCTGTCAGGACTGTGACTTTAAAATTTTTTATAACCGATTGGTAAAACATGTGACTGTAGGAATTATGATTTTAAATAACTATCGAAAATATGGAGAAATGGATCTTAATAAAATAAGAAAAAAAATTTCATTCTTAATCAACTGAAATTTTCTTGAAATTAATTATTTAGAGAATTTTATGAGAGTTTTTATACTCATGGGGAAAAAGAAATTAAAAAAACTATAAGTTTTTATTATTTTTATTTTGAAAGTCAAGAATACGTGACTTTAGAAAAAAACTGAATCTAAAGAGTAAAAAAAAAAGAATTGGCTTTAGAAACTTTTAAATTAACTAAAGCCAATAAAGTGTGATTGGAAAAATAATGACTTTAAAGACTTTTAAAAAATTTTAAAGTCCCCAAAGTCTTTACCAATCACCCCCTTGATGTTTTGAAAATTAAAGATAGTTCATTGTTTTGTTTCTCTGTCTGACAAATCTTAATCTTCAACCAAACCGCAAACCTACTTCGACTTGAATTTCTCGCCGAGTTTCCCGAGTCTGTCCTTAAACTCTTCTACAGTCTCCTTAGCCTTCACTATAGAGATATTTCTGATCTCATCAACCCTCAAGCTCGTTTGTCTCCACACTTCTTCTGCTTTTGACTTGGTTTTCATTTTTATGTCTTTGGCTTTGTTCTCCATGCCATGAACTTGTTGTTTCAAGGCTGATATCAGAAGGCTTATCTTCTCTATGATCAAGTAGATTACTTCTCTGGATTTCTCTCCTACATCTTTCGCCATCTTCTTGAGCTTAGCAATTAGATTTCCAGCTCTTTTCATGGTTCCTTCTACAAGATTTTGCTTTCTTACGTTCAGCCAAGTAGATTCGGTTGTTGTTGTCTGTTCATGGAGGTCACTGTCAACAATCACTTTTAGGCCATACTTCTCCCAACGTCCTCTAGCTTCTTCTAGCACTTTTGCTTGTTCTCTTGCTCTTCTCGCTTCATCCTTAGCCCAATCCCTTCAAAAACAAAACTCAAACCAGTAAATGACCTGGAGGACCTAAACTCTCTTACGTTTGATTTGTCACATTTCTCAATATAAAAGCTTTGAGTTTCACTAATCAGTGTAAAGAGGCTACGTTATTAAACAATTAAGAAATCTTTTGCTTCTATCACACTCTGTAAGATCTATTCATGCTCATTTGATTTTGCTTGGCAAAGAAAAAAGAAAATTACCTGGCTATGGATAAAGCGTTCCTTTCAACTTCAAGCTCATTTTGCAACCGGAGTATCTCTTGGTTCTCATCCTCCACTTGCTTTTGAAGTCTATCAAACCTCTCTTTCTCATACGACATCTCTGCCTTGTTACTCGCAAGGCTTTGAAGTTGTTCCTCAAGCTCATTTCGTATCCTTGCAAGAGCCTCCATTTCTGTTTCAATCGATGTGCGTTCTCTCTCCAATGCAAGAGTCTCCTCTTCTTTTTCAACTCTAAGTCTCGCCAGCTCCGACTTTGCTTCTTCAGCCAATTTCTCCACTGCATCTACTATTTCTTTTTCTCTTAAAAGCTCTATCTCGAAGCTAGCATTAATATCCTTCTCGACCTGAGCAACCAGCGCGTTATGTGCAGAAACCACATTTTCAGCCATAGCCTCTGCTTCAATACGAGCTAGCTCCTCACCAACTACTTCAAAAGCATCACCAATTGCAAGAGACACAGCTGTTTGGGCTTTTGTAACTGCTTTAGACGGCTGAAACAATCTGGTACGCCCTAGAGGGACACAAGACTTTTAAAAACAGAACTTGGTTGTGAAACTCTAATGATATAATTACTTAAAAAGCTTAATTTCACTCACCAAAAGCAAGTGCTGTTATTCCGTGTTCTCCAGCAGATAAGTCAGCTATAAGGGCAGGCCATGCTTCTGGGTTTATTTTATCAATGTCAAGAAATCCAGAAAGTTGGTACAATTTCTGAAAAAAAGAAAAGTGAGTTGTCTAAGGTTTACGACGCTCCAATAACTAGAATGTGACCAAGGAATAGACAAATAACCTTGCTATCAGCTTCTGGGAGCTGTCGAAATTCCAAAGCCATCTTCCAGCTCAATAGATCCTGACGTGTTAGAGGACTGTAGAGAAAAAAAAAAGAGATGAGAAGAGTGGATATCACATAGCAATAGCTAGTTTTTTTATAGCGTATATGGCTGAATGAAAATAAATAGCACGTCTACCTTTCTGGGGAGAACGTAAACCGACTGCTCTCAGAAGAAGGCATGTTGTGGTTAGAGAGTTTGCTTGAGATAAGTCCTGCCTCTGCCAAACCTATACTATCCAATGAAAAATGAAGAAAGCAGATTAAACATAACTTCACCGATTCAGAGTGAATGTAAAAAAAGAATTTGATGATCACCTTGAATGAATGGAAAATCAGCATCTTCAGGTGTAATATCATCAAATGCAAGTTCAGTAACATTCTCTATGTACATGGCAGGATATACTTTTGATGCTGAGTTCCTGTAACCGATGAAGGTATTTTCACGCTGTAAGGCAGTGAAATACTTCACAATGTTTTAAGAGTAGGAGAGAAGTTTTTTGGTAATTACCTCGATAGAGTATTGCTTGCAGAAACCACCCAACGAGCGAATTCACGGCGTGTACATAAATCGTAAGGCAGAGCATCAGATTCAATAACCTGAAAATTGAATATGTTAGCAATCAGTTCTTAGCACATCATCAAATTGTTGCATTGCCAGATAGTTCAAAATAATCGGAAAGTTAAACGCAGTACCTTTAAAGCTTGTAAAGCTGAAAATATTTGACTTTGAACTGGGTCCACAACCGTTGGAAATATAGGTTCTACGGGATTTACTTGTGTAACTGTGGAAGGAGCAGGTATTCCTGTATAACTACGAGTTTTCTGCTTCTCGTATGGGATTAGAGAGGTATGTGTATCTACTCCATCCAACTCCTTCGATAATGTGTATTTCTCAGCTGGACTTTCAGATGCTTTGTTCCCCTCATCATAAACTTTGCTTGTAGACGCGGATTTCGACACCAAATCTTTGTCATCCGGAGATAAAACTGGAGAATCTAAACTAACATCCAGAAAAGGGAACACTTGTTAAACAGGCAAGTAACATTGAAAGGTAAGATAATGAAGAAACTGAGAAAAACACAGATGAAAATCTCGCACCAAAGAACTCAATAGATAAATTTTCAAGCCAGCTGAGTTGTATATGCAATAACCTATGTTCTTGTCGCCTTTGCTGGTTATAAGATCTATCAAACTAGGTAAATCAAATGTCTATAGATGAACAGAAGTTAAGACGTTCGAGTCCATACCTCTATAGCTTTCCTGGTTATCTTGATCCTTGACAATATTTCCTTCATTATCACCCGTGCTGATTTGATCACTTGAACTTCCAGCAACTGTGGTCACCATCACTTCTACTTTTGGTCCTAAACATTCACCAAAATTTGATAACTTCTTTGTTGAAACCAAATATTGTATCAATTTTGATAGTTATAACACTAAATGAAGACTCAAACACATACTTAAAACATTGCGTTTGAAAGATAAAGCTGCGTAAGTTAACCCAACAAAGAGAACCATTCCAGCAACTCCAGATAACAAGGTTCCTGAAAAAAAACAAAGTCCTTTAAGAATAATTAGGAAATGTAAAAATTTGCAGAAAATTATAACCAAATTCGAAATCAAATTTCGTACCTTTAAACCTATCGCCACCGCGAGAATCAGTAATTTTCTCATCTTCTTCTGAATCAGCCCACCCACGAAATTGATCCGACCCGTTACTCTCACCCAAGTCGCGACCCAATTCTGCGTTCGGCGCAACGCATGATATCCGGAGACGACGACTGAGCTTTGTCATCTTCGCTCTCGCCGGAGCTTTGAAGCTACCGTGATTTAGGGCAATTCTGAGCTGGAGAGAGCTTGGTGTCCATGTCGCCGTTGTAGACGCCATAGTTCAGCAGCGATTCGAAAATTCGCATGAAACTGATTTTTGGCATTTACGCTTTTCTTTGGTCCGTTGCTTCATAGACGAGCTAGACAAGAAACGTGATACGAACCTTTCGTATAATTGCGAAAAGGCCCTTTTATTATCTACTACTTTCAACTTTTACCCACCTTAATTTATTTATTTTACACATTAATAAATATATTAATTATTTTTTATTAACATATGTATTTGAGAATCTTTTTTTTTTTTTTTTTTTGTGAAACATGTATTTGAGAATCTTTATGCTAACAGAACCAAGAAAAATAAATTATCATTTTATGTGTGATTTCAGTAGACATCATGTCAAAAAAAAAAAGGGACAACTATTAATTAGCAATTGGTTTTTTTTTATTATTATTGTTATTTATTTATAAATAATAGAGCAATTTTAGACAAGAATTGGAAGTAGTAAGATAAATGAATTAGAAGACAAAAAAAGTTCGACGTATGATTTCGTTGCTAAAGTAAACAAAAAAAGTTTATTTCTCACCAAGAAATTGAATACGAATTGGAACATCTATAGCAAATACAAAACTGCACCATTTAGTAATGGCGAACATAGTCACAAATCATGAACTTATTAAGATCCCAAGTAGAAGAAGTAAGAGATAAATTTGGAGGTTCATCACAGGATCAAAGGAAACAAAAGAAAAAGAATAAGCTTTACCAGATTAAGAAAATGAACATGACCAACAGGTAGAAATTAACTATTTCATACAAGAGATGAGAACATTAGAGCATCACTATAACACACGGAAAACAAGTAAACATAATAAATGGTTAATCACTTTTGTGTGTATTTTTAGTAGAAACTGTGAAAAAAGAGATGGGCACAAAACACACAAGAGGAAACAAACATATATCCAATGAAATAAACAGACTATATACATATGAACACTCAAAACCAGTAGTGTGAAATCGAAAAAAAAGGACAAGAGAGAAAGATGCAATCAATCAAAGAAAAATGGCTAGTTATACACCTAAAATCAAGTTCCAATATTACTCCATAACAATCACTACTGAAACGAGCACTCATAAAATGTTATAATTTCAGAGTGTGGGGAGATCAGAAACATAAAATATAACGAGTGAAATCCAAAATAAATAAGAAAAAGTATAATGCAATCAACCGAGTACCCCAATCATAATTAAACATAGATAAAATTTGATCAATAGAGAAGATGGCGAAGTGTATGTGACTAAATGAACTAATCTAATAGATGAAATGATCTATTAAACATATTCTATGTAAAATAAGCAATAAACCAGGAAAATAAAAAATTGAAGAGAAGATATCAGAAAGCATATCAACAAGGAAAGTTTGAAAAGGATAGAGTTGCACACCTGATCGACCTGGGTTTACTAGAATCTCAAACGATGAGTCGATGGCTCGGGATCCGCTTTCTTCTCCATGCTATTGAGCTGATAGTTCCTGCAGACAAGACTTTCAAATTACAATGGTCCTAGGATGAAAAGGACTTCAAAGAAACATGATTTCTCAGGATTAGCTTTCTCATCATTTGCTTCTTTCTTAGCCTTAGCTTTGGCTTTAACTGAGGTTGAGAGAACATCGGTAGGAACTTCGATAGCGGTTTAAACTACGACCTGAAAGCTGTTTTCAGAACAAAACATCCCAACGTCGAGCTCAATCTCGTTTTCAGAATAAAAATTCAAACTCTGCGAACAGAGGATGGATATAGTAATGGCAAAACCCTAACTAGTAGAGCACTAAAGAGGAAAAGCACATACCAGGGCCGATGAGGAATCAGACATCCTGTGTGTTTGATCAACGGATGTCGCATGAACTCTATTATTGTCATTTTCCCCAGCTGAATCTGCATTCACAAGACTTACCTCAAGATCATCCTCTACACCAAATGAGTTTTGTCTCTATTCAGCCCTGCAGAATCATTAAGTTCTACACAATCAAAAGCCATCAGATTTAGTATTCAAAACCGACTTTATAATGATTTTCAAGATATTGTAAATTTCTCTATATATTCTTTTAACTCTACTGCTAAAACTAACCTGCAGAAACTGGTTTTGGAGAATAAGGCTTGTTTCTCGTCTTCTGGAAACAGCTCTTTCTTCCTGCCTTTTGAATGACGTTCATCACTTTTGATATCAATACCACCTGCTATATGAGCTGATCGAGATCGGGAACGACGATAAGGAAACATGATGATTGTGCCACATTGTAGGATTTGGAACCATAGCTCTCCTTTTCTCTCTGCATGGAATTGCCATCAGTCATGATGTTGCCGGGCCTATCAGCCTGGTTTTGAGAATCATCAGAGTTGGTAGAATACACATCATCATCGTCCTTTTTGCTGTTCTCTTCAGACTCCTTTGGGAATGTGGCGTCAGGAATTGGACGAAGATGTACTTAAGGGACCTTCTTCGTTGCTACCACTATCAGACTTCTTGTTCTCCATTGTAAAATCAAAGGCCACGTCACTAACAATACTCCATCCTCTCAAAACAGACTTCTCAGGGAGTGCATGAGCAGTTGATGAGACATCAGCGGAAAGTCTCTTCAATTCTGTGGATTTCGCAACAACCATCCGTTTGGTTCCTCCAGAGTTTGAGTTTTTCTTTTCTTTGTTTTCAAAGAGGTTAATCCTATCTTTGTTTTTGTAGAAGACTCATCCAAACTTTCATCTTTCTTCTCCTCTTCATTATTCTTAGTACTTCGATGTTGACTAATGTTTGTGCATTGGTATTCAGGTTCTTGGTGATCAGGTCTGGCCTTCTTTGCGGTAGTGAAATATATTTGCCGCATGCTTCACTGATAACAGAAATATATTCTGATCAGATTCCAAACATAGTTGCAAAGAAAATGAAACACCAAGAAAAAAACTTGCTTACTCCAAATGTTGGAGATCAGAAACAGTTTGAGGGTCAAAACTATTAACTGACGCTTGCGCAATCGCCGTGGTTAAGTCCTTTTAATTGCCTCAAGTCATAAATCTATAGCTCTTAAGATCTCCTTCCTGTACATAGACAAAGAGCGGCAATCCGATACGATGTGAAAGTAGAGACATATACTTACTTTGTTGCATCTGCTACGCTTCCATCGTCTGAAACAGTAAAGGAGAAAAAAATAGTATCAAGTTTGGTCACTTGTAAGCTTTGAAATTGATCAAGCTAATGAGAAATGAAACATACCTTGAGAATATAATGTCCGAGCTGCTTCCAACTGTGAGATTTCCAAATCAAATGTATTGACTCTTTCCTCCACTTCCGGAATTTTAACATATTGAACAAATCTGGAAAAACAAAACAACAACAAAGGTCAAAAGATTGTTAAGGTAACCAAAATTATTGTGTCAGATGAAAAAGCAAAATGTTCTTTGAGACCTATCGAGTGTTCTTCTTGTGAGCCAAGATTAGCCATTTGCGGTTTTTTTTTCTACTTCCAGTCTAACAGAGGATTGGTCTCTCTTTGAAGCTTGTGATTCAAGAACTCTCATATGATTCACGAATGGTTCTATCAATCCTGAAGCCAAGCCAGTTTCTCTCTTTCTTCATTACTCGATATAAACAATTCACATCTGTAACACAGATATCAAACCTACAAGCCATGATCAATTGCTACAGACATTTCACTAAGAGAACAAGATTTACTCACCGAGAATGTTTTGGCGAAAGCTCAAACACTGCATAGTCAAGAACAGTATCAGCCTTCATTTATCACACAAGTCAAAGCTTCTTTCGTAGACCAAAAGGTGAATCGTTCATAAGATTATCAAATGAAACCTGAGAAAACAAAAAAATATCCCAGAAAACAGAATACCCAAAATTTCAGAATCAGATGATAAACTAATCAAAAGCAAGAAACTTGAGCTAATACAAAGGAAAAAGGTTGACTAACTTACGACATAACCGATCCAAATTTCTTCCGATCACTCTCCAAACTTTAGTAAACGGTTAGCTTTGGCTTTTAACTGAGGTTGAGAGAACATCGGTAGGAAGTTTGATAGCGGTTTAACTACGACCTGAAAGCTGTTGGTGAGAAGGCAAAGCTAATGAAATAGATAAGTGGATACGACTACCAAAACTGGCTGAAGACTGAAAGGCTGATCAGCGATATTTTTGTCATGTTTGTTCTTTGAGAGCAGTCTTCTAGTAACATCCCTACCACACTCCAATCTTGCTCATTCTATCATCAAGCTTGTCGAGTAGGATCTTCTTAAGTTTGCACCTACAAAACATACATAAAATCTCAGTCTACCAAGATGTTCACTGCCTCGAAATGCTGGAGGAAACAGGTTTATACTAACCTAAATGCTCAAACACGAGAATCGCTTGCTTCACTAATTTAGATCATCACCATGGCTATTGCAATCAAAGCTCGCTAAAGAAAGTGCCTACACAAGAAGTACCTACTGGCTGAAGACTGCAAGGCTGTGATCAGCAGTGATTTTGTTATGTTTGGTCTTTGAGAGCTGTCTAAGAGTAACGTTCATACCACCAACATCGAGGATACCAGATGCCAGAATCACTCCTATCTTGCTCACTGTATCTTCAACCTTGTCGAGTATGATCTTCTCAATTTTGCACCTACAACACATACATAAAATCTCAGTCTACCAAGATGTTCTCTGCCTCGCAATTCTGGAGAAAACAAATTTATACTAACCTAAATGCTCTAAAACGAGAATTGGTTGCTTCACTAATTTGGATCATCACCATGGCTATTGCAATCAAAGCACCTTGACGAGGACCAACAAGGATATCGCTTCGCTAAAGCAAGTACCTGCCACACCATAAATAACATGAGGATTGTGTGAATTAGAAAGCAAAGACACAATATACAGATTCTACAGTTAGAAAAATAACATAATCCATTAGTGGGGGTATACGAACCACAAAAGTTTTGGAGCTCTAAAGAAATAGAAGTCAGTGGTCACAAGTAAGGGAGCATCAGAAACTGACCTGCTCTGGATCAGTAAGCGGGCCAAAACAGCAGGTTTTCCATCAGCACTGACATGAGACAAAATAAAGTGTAGCAATTGACGAATTGCCTTGTTTTTTGCGGTACCACTGTAAGGCAATGCCATAGAGTATCACCAAAAAATCTCCTCCACACTTTACATATCGTTATAATTTTCTCATGTTGTGTCTCATGATTCAAGAGTATAAGTGAGCAACTCGCTTGCCTTTTCAGTAGCAGTTCCAATAATAAACCCATGATGATGCTAGCAGCTTCACCAGCAACTAAGAGCATTTAACTACGCTTTTGACATCATCATATATCTCTTTATCCATTGTCCCGAGAGCTGAAAATTGAAAAGCTCTGTGTTTAATGACCAGTATCCATATTATAGCAATATAAATTAATTCTCTAAACAAGGAGGCTGCCATGGGAATTGAAAGAGACTATATTGAGTAAGATATCAACTAATCACCTCAATATTGGTATTGCGTAGGCGATTGTTTAAGCATGCATAATGGAATAGAAACTCGACAGGCTGTTTGATTGTCTTCAGTATCAGCAGGTCCAATCTACAGAAATTATGATATCATCAATGAAGCATATGATTACTTCCTGATATAAATGGATTTAAAAGAAAAAATTATCTCATTTCAAGATATCAAAACTGTAAAAGTAACTTACTTGTAATGGATGCAAAGAATCTGAAGTGTTAGCCTTGTAGCATGTGTAGCGTCCACTGGAGTTCCATTCGTCATCTGAACATCCTCCGAAATATTCTCACTCGAAGCAGTAGTAGTTTCAAGGGCCTGACTACTTCTACAGGACATGTTTTGGGAACTGGAAGATGATCTCTAACACCCAAGAGAATGGCCCGATGCTCTTCTCTACAAGATCAAATGCACTTTGCAGTTCCAATAATGCATCATTCTTGCTCGCTGAGGAATAAGATTTTCAGTTACAGCTTACGTGAGATTACAGACATGGTACTTAGGTGCAACATAGAGACCATCAGTCCCACCTCATGACTATACTCTCTATGGTTAACAAAAAGAATGAGAAACATTGATGTAATATGATAGAATTCCATGAACATTACCACTCTTTGTGATAGCTTCCTCCAACTTATACAATCTCCGTCTTCTTTCGCAATACCCATGGCCAGCTAATACTTCTCCTCACTGATGCATCTACATACAGAAAATCATGTAAGAACAACTGAGGCACTATAAAGACATGAGCATTAATTCATGGACATACCATAGTACCTTACTTTTCAAGCATTCTATCAACAATGGCTTCAAGCCTGGGATCATGATTCATCTGACTCAAATTCTTTTGATCTGAAACTGGCATATCTATCTGTTGCTTCGGCTGAAAACAAAACAAAAGCATCTAATGCGTAAAGATTCATTCTAGCAGTAATCAATACTCAAATAGTCGATCAAAACTTCTACGTGCTCATCAACTAATCTAGAGTCATAACAATCAGTGATAAGAAAAAATTTAATTACCATCTTTAACTAACTTACACAAAGAAACACTGATTTGTTCAACAATATATTGATGATGTATAGGAAAACTCACACACAACACGAATCAAGTTAAGTAGAAAGGGGAACAGCAACAACAACAACAAAACCAGATAACAATTTTTATCCACACCAAAATATGTGGTTCCAGACAAGAATATGTCTGATAAGAATTGAACCAAGAACAGGAAAATGTCAAAAGGAACAAGAACATGACATTTTGTGTATTGTTTCAGTAGACATCATCATGTCAAAGAAACAGACAAGAAACAAACAATCAACCAAAAGAGAAAATAACAGGCTACAATGCGTAAGAGACAGACAGCCAAACCAAAACAATTTATGGTAAGAACTGAACCAAGAACAGGAAAATGAAAGCAAAAAAAGGAACAAGAACATGTCATTTTATGTATTGTTTCAGTAGACATCATCAACAAGACAAAAGTAAACTAGTTAAGCAAAGTAAATACTCCACAAAGATCAAAATATTGGAAGGAGGGAACAACTAAATAAATATTAGCCAAGATTAGGGAAGTAATATATAAAGATAAACGAATCAGACAGTATGAGGAAATATTGTTTACAACAAAAAATTTGCCTTTGAACTGAAACAACTTGAACATAAATATAGTGAAACAATCAAAAGCTCATATAAAGACAACAAAACCAATCAAAAGTAATCAAAACTTAAACATAGATATAATGAAACAATCAAAAGCACATATAATCAAAGTGAAAAGTCTTCTCAAATGACTTTTGAGAAAACAGATCCAAAGGAATACGATATTAAAAAGAAAAAAATGTATAACCAACCAACTGCAATATAACAAAGTGAGGAAAGTAGAAATCTGAATCATAGACTAAAATTCCCAGTACATAACAAACAAAGGGAAGAGAATATCACATCAACATCAAAAGGTAAAGAAATATACGAAATTAACAAAAGAAAATGTATAACCAACCAAATGCAATATAACAAAGTGAAGAAAGTACAAATCTGAATCATAGACTAAAATTCCCAATCCATAGTAAACAGAGGGAAGATAATATCACATCAACATCAAAAGGTAAAGAAATATCAATATGTAATCAATATCACAAAGAAGGAATTAAAAACCAAACAATTTGTGTATGAACAACCAATACGAGAAAACAAGGAATAACTGAGAGTAAACAACGATCGTCCATCATGGGCGGATCTACGTAGTAGAAGAGGGGGGCAGCTGCCCCCAGTAAAAAATCAATTTTTTTTGTATTTTCATTAATTTTAGTAAAGATTTATTAAGTCAAATGGTAGAATGAAGCAACTTGCCACCCCTTAAACCATGATCATATCCCACGATGCCCCTTCTTTTTTTTTTTTTTTTGCATTTTCATTCCTTTTTTACTTATTTTCTTCCCTAATCTTAGCATTAATTGTTTATCTTTCCTATTCTAGACTTAGTATTTCCAAAATCAATACTATTTTCATTTTGTTTAGATTGGTTTTTCTTTTCTTATTTAGCTTTCTCTTAAATATCTTTTTAATGTAGAATTTTTATCGGTTTATTTCGAAACAATGTTTATAATGTAGCAATATTAAAAAACTAAAAAAGTATATAATGAATTACTTTTTTATCTCGAAAAGTCGGTACAGTACTTTGTCCCCGGTAAAAATATTTTCTAGATCCGCCACTGTCGTCCATAATCTTATAAAATCACAGAACACAATCACAATCAACTATTAGAATTGATCTACAGAGAAGAGAATCCACATAAACTACAATTTTCACACCATTATTCCAATTATAACACACCCAAACCAAAATACATTCATTCGATAAAAGGTAGAAAAAAAGAAATCGCAGAACTATAAAGGGGAAAAAAACCCTAGAAAACGATTCAACGGAAACTACAATTATCACACCATTTTTTGTACTGACGAACCCAAATCACAATCAGCGATTCGATTTTAGAAATATGAAAAGAGAAATCAAATAGGAGACGAGACCCGTTGATTATAACAAAGAAACTCGTGGGAGAATTTCTGCAATTAGAAGAAATAAAAGCAAAGTCGACGAAGAACAGAGAACTTAAGAAAATTACTTGCAGATTAGAAGAAATCACAGAAAAAAATATGAAGAGGAATCATGAATCTGAAAAAGCGATCTACTCCTAACAATACAAAACCCTAACAAAATTCAAAATGACGAAGAGGAAAGGAAGAGAAAAGCTTATATAGATTCATCGCATGAGTATAATGGACGACTAGGATCAAGTAGATTGTGATGCATATGGACGGTTGCGATTAAAATTTCTAATCGACCGTTTAATCCAGCTTCTTCTCCTATTAATTACTAATTTGCCCCTTATTAATTACCATCATTTGGAATTGTTTGTTACGAGATGGGTCCTGCTCGTTTATATTTTAATTTTAAAGTTTACTGTTAAAAATAATATTATTTTTACAAGGAATATTTGAATTTGTTAAAAAGCATACAATAAGATTGTTCTAAGATTTCCTTTTCAAAAAAAAAAAAATCTTTGACAAAATCCACAACAATATATTAGATCCTGCTTCCAAGTTCCAACTACTGAAAGATTCGACAAATTAATAAAAAAGCTTAAACAAAAAATCATAATTAATTAATGATGGGGTCTATAGGCTATAATGTGAGAATTAAAACGATTGTTTTACCGAAACAAGTTTTATAGAAGATGAAATAATGTAGCACACATTTTGTATCTATCCTTTAACCCCAAAAAAAAAAAACACACACACAATCTGTATCTCAAAATCGTATATTGCATTAATCAGTGAAATTACAAAGAAATAAAAGATGAGGTGTCCGTTATCCGGAAAAACAAGACACGTGTATAAATATACTAAAAATCGAGGACTTGAATAGTTACATTTTGATCTGTCGGCCAAAATAAAAAAATAAAATAAATTGATCCTAATTAAACTTGAAATAAAGACTTTATATTTGTTTGTTAATGCAATCTAAAGTGGTCGTATAATTAGAGGCAAACCGTAACCCGGTCTGAGAGAAAGCATGTACGTCGGAGAATGGCGATAACCGGGTGAAACCGAGATTTCGAACCGGGACAAAACCAATGACAAGACAATCTTGTACTCCATGGTGGTCAAATTTCGACCGATACACATCCTCCCTCCGAATCCAAACGGCATATAACCCATTTTATTCTTACAACCACCGTGTAAATTGCCGTCGAATCTCTCCGGTTTAAACTCGTTAACGTCGTCTCCCCACAACTCAGCGTCGTGGTGCATTGCCACCACATCAATCCAAATGTTTGTTCCGTTAGGAATCACCCGACCGTTCACTTCAATGTCTTTTCGGGCTTGTCGTTGTGCGTTAGGCGCCGGTGGATATAGCCGGAGAACCTCGTTCATTACCCAACTCATCTGCATAAAATGATCGGAAGTTTTATTCATTAGTATCAAAATTTTGAAGAGGTTATGTGATTTTAACTAACTAAAGATGCGATTTCATTATCATTAATGACACGCGTGTCACACGTTTTAGTCATTGGATAAAAAAAATAGAGAGAATATTCATTATGCTACGTGGCATTAGATTTTTCAGTTTGAAGATTACGTGGCATGTCAGTCATTGGTCAGCGCAGTCGTTGACGCGCCTCTATGCTATGATCAATGTACGTTTTGTGGATTTTGACTTCTGTGACCACTGACTTTGACCATAGTGATCAGATGTATATTAGTTAGGTTTAGATTATACTTAAGGTGTTTTTTTGTTTACTTTAATATTATGAAATCTTATGTAGTATCAAGCTACATTAGTATCATCTTTTACGTGCATTAAATTCGTTTATTTATCAAGTAAATGTGAACATGTCAAATTGTACATGCACTACTATTTTGTGAACGCGTCCAAATATAGTGTATGCACGCATATAATTAAGCACGTGGATTGTTGTGTACTGTGTTTGGTAACGTACCTTTTTTAGACCGGCAAGTTTGTTATACTCAATCTTGGAATCTCCGATGACTTGTCTAATCTCTTCCCTGAGCGTGTCTTGCCACTCGGGATGGATTGCAAGAAGCATGAACGTCCACGTTAGTGCTAAAGCCGTTGTCTCATGGCCAGCGAAGAAGAATGTTTTGCATTCGTCCACAAGCTCTTTCGCAGTAAAATTCCCTTTCTGATCGGCCTTAAGCAACATTCCGAGAAGATCGTGGCCTTGGTCGTCTCCTTGGACCAAAGATATCTTCCGTTTGTTTATGAACGACAAAAGGAGACCATCGATCTCTTGACCTAGCTCCTTTGCATTAACGGTTTGCTTGTAACTCAAAATGTTGCTGAATGGCACGCCTACGTAGCGATTTGAGTTGAAGAGAGCGAATTGCACGGCTCTCAGGTTTTTGAGGACTTGAGTGCCGTTTTCTCCGGTGACTCCGAAGCTTGTCTTGGCTATTATCTCACCGGCTGTTCCTATAATCTCGCTCTCCATGTCGAATTCGGCATTACCCGAGTTTATTTGTATGTCCCATCGGTCCAACATGTTGGAGACTGATTCCACCATCATATTTGTCATAACCTATTATTTAAGACGATCAATTAAAAGTAATGAGAAAACAGAGAAATATTTTAGTATGAAGCTTTGATTTGAATGAGTCTAATATAGTACTTTCTAGTCTTTTCAACACCATAAGACCTTGAAATTTCTATGTCATGAAAAATGGTGGCTCATGCTTTTGGGAAAGGACTACAAAGTCAAATTGTTGAACTAGATTGGTCACCCTATTAAATTTCTATAACTTGGACTCTTGCCTATGTAAACGATTTGAAAAAGAGTTTAATTATTGTAAGTATATGTTTATACCTTAAGATTAAGAGGGGCAAATGCAGGGGTGATGATGTGGCGATGTCTTGTCCAATCATCGCCTTCGACCATAACCAAACCGGTACCAAACATTGGCTCTCTGTCTTTCTTGAAAACATTTGGTTTTCCCCAACTCTTTCCCAATACACCTTTCGACATAACACTCAAGAATTCAGGATCCGCCACGTACACGAATGGCTCTATTCCTAGCCAGTACACAAATACTTTCCCTGCATCAATAACACGTAACCAATAATCTACGTTAATATTTAGATATAGTAATAATCCAAATGTTGCGAGCTAAAAAATTTATATGGTCTAAATGTCCGGAACATAAATAAGAGATGCAGAATTATTAGTTACCGTATTCTTGTTGCCACCGAGCGAAATGTGGAAGTGCAATGGAGTGTATGTCATGGTTGATAATGGTGGAAGATTTGCTATTATCCACCATAACCGAGGCCATCTTCAGCTTCTTCATGTCATTAAGGTTTCCTAATGGAAAACTAGGAGTTGGACCGAAAAATCCGTTTTCTCTAAGCTTCTTTTGAGCTCGAACCGGCAATATCCAACAACGCACAAAGAGCTTCAAGAACATGAGGCAAAGAACTACGATGAAAACTTTGAAGACTATGTACCAAACTCGAGACATCTCAAGAAACTCCATCCCAATATATCTCTCCAAATTTGTATATAAGAACAAAAAAATATATGTGTGTATTTTTTACTATTGTGGAGAATTGTATATGAGGAAGTGGTTTTGGGTGCAATATTGGTTGTTGTATTCAAAATGTTTGCAGGTGAATTATGGGAATGAACCAAATGAGGTATTTATAGATGTTTTCTAGGTTCAGGGTGTAGAAGAATGTCAGACTTTGACCACTGAAATTATTCGTCTTTCTATTATTTTATAGTATTATTGTATTTTATTTGAGTTTATGTTGGTACATAACATATAACGTTTCTTTACCATTTTCTGGTCAAACATTATCGGCATTTAGGCTTCTTGTCTTTTTCCATTTCTCTATTGTGTCTTGTACAGTTTGTAACTCCGGCTGCTTTTTTGAATATATTGAAAGTGATGTGAATGTATGGATGCTGTCTTTTAATCCTTATTGGCAAAAAGGTTAAACACAATACTTTTTATTTTTTATTTTATTTTGTCAACTTGAAAAATTAATTGTTTACTCGATCTTCTTTCTACCGGATAAAGTACTTATTAGTTTATAACTAGTAACTACGTTTTAAACTAAAACACTAATTAGCTAATTACACGTTTTTGTCCTTTTAGTGTTTTCCCCCTTCAATTTTGTGATTTATGTTTTGTTTTTCCTTAATCACACACCTTACTTTTTAATCAAAATTTTTAGTTTTTGAACCAACTCAAAATAGTTATTAAATTTAAGGAAGTCTTACATAATGTAATTCCAATACAAACTTCTCCGTTTTACAACAATGTGTGACGTGTAAGTATGTAAAACTAAAATAGACTCTAATTTATTTGATAAACTAAAAGTTCAAAAATTAAAATTTACAAGGTCGGTTAGTGAAAAAGTAGAATCTTTCGGTTTCTAGTTCTAAGCAGAATATATAAAAATTACGCGTTAAATCACAATCAAGTGAAATTGTACATGTGAAATGCTCTACTTTTGGACCCAATATGTGAAATCGATCACTGTCACTACCTAACTGCAATAGTGAGGATGAATCTTAAATGCTCTAACAGTTCAATGTGAAACTCTTAGGCTTCAATCGTTTAGCCCAAAATAGATCAAACCCACACATCAATTCACAATTTATTATTTAAACCACATAACATTATAATATCTGGCATGGACCACGTACTGGATCTCTTTATCAACAAGACATGTACAAGCCTCGTCTTTTGTCCTTTTTTTCCATTTTTTTGGAGTTTTAGAGGACACATGTGCGTTATATATAATAAATTGGGGTTAGTTATGGAATATATTAATTTATTGTAATTCAGATATTATAATATAAGTTCAAGTAAAAGAGCTTAATGAGCAAAATAGTCAAAGTTTCGCGTATGAATCATATTTTAGTCACACGCGTAGAGCTGCTACGACGACTTGTATACTAAGAACACAAGATCTGACAAATACGAAATAAGAACACAAGATCTGACAAATACGATAATAGGTCCTCTTTAAACAGCCGTTTTTGGTCGTAACAAACAACTTTTTTAGTTTTTGGTTCGTAGATGAAAATTCCATTTGTTCTTCTACGGTTAGAGTCTAATATTCGTATAATACCATGCATGTCACACTCACACCAATAGCACAAGATGTGGTGAAACACTAGTATTAGTATCATCAATCATTTGAGAGCTTCGACTGTTCTAAACATAACATATGCGTGGCATGCGTCTACATGAGAAATAAATTTATATTTTTGAAATTTAATTAATAGGTAAATTTTGTTTAAAATGCTTAATATTATTGCGAGTTCATTTGAGAAATTAATATATACACACTAAATATAAACGTAAATACAAACAGTGAAACAATCATAAGAAACCTAAGAAGATTGTTAATGTCTTTAATTTATATTACATATGTCAAGTTTCTTATGGCAAAGCAATATATCATACTTAGTTTTGTGTGAGAAATTTGAGTTTTTTCTAGTAATTTCTTTTTATTTATGCAATTAGTCAACGAGATCTAAAATCATAGCATAACACTATGTCGAACTGATAGAGTTGTAGTCTTGTAGAGGTAAAATAGAGAATTAAGAGGAAGAAAAGAGACTTGATGTTGATAACAACGACATGGCTCATGTGCTATGTCACGTCTATAGAGGGAGTGTGCATGGCATGCATGGCCGAAACGACCACGTCTCACCATATAAATGTGTTCAATGTTTGGTTGGTTCTGTCTCAAACATCATTCATCTTATGAGTATTTCTATGGGCACTGGATTGAGGGATCGGTGACCTAAAAATCTCAGAATTTTAATGGAAGAAAGATATCTACTCGCTAAGGTTTTCTATGAGGCGGGTTGATTAGACCACATTTTCTAGAGTTCTTTATGAGTGTTTAGGTGTTGTAGCCTACCACGTTCCTAGCGTATGGGAGGTTTTGGCCCCTTTTCAATATCCTTATCGACAACATCCATGTAATCTAATTATAACTGAAAAAACGCTTAAAAAAATATGCGATATGCTTTTTTGTATCCTGAAATTAAACTTCAATAAATTACAAAACTCCTTTTTTTGCATGAAAAGTAATAATTTATCCATTAAATAATACTTTGTAAAAACAAAATATTAAGTTTTAGATGTTTTAGTTTTCTATACTATATTGTATTATCTATATATGTTTTGCATGTTATTTTATCATTTGGTCATATGTATACTAGATATAATCTTTCAAAGTTGTACCCAACTATCTAAAGTAATCAAAAGTTGTATAAACTGTTTAAGTTCCGATTAAACGTTATATATGCTACGTGTTACAGCACTCTTACTAACACATTATCTTTCCTTTCTTTCTTTCTTTTTTTGGTTAAAAAACTAACACTCTTTCATTTTCTAATTAACATACTAGCGATCTATCAGCGACAAACATGTGACATAAATTGTCGTATATATAGATTTAACCACGAAACTCATGTGAACGAAACCAGAATTAAGTGTTTGTTTTTTAACAATAAAAAGAAGTAGTTGTTTGTTTGTGTTCTTGGGTGTTTATGGGTCCACTAGCCATCGATACGGCGATACCATACATTCACTATTTCTTTATTTAAGATTTTTCGGTTTTTAATTTTCTATTGTAGAAATTTAAATGGTTGCACCGCGTAGACTGAGCTAATATATAAGCCCACGACACGAGTATCCCTTTTTTTTGTCCCAAAACTAAAAAATTAACATTACATCTTAACTCATTAGTTTAAGAATGTCTAAATCACCAAACCTTCTTGTTAACACTTTCATAAATCTACCGAAAAAAATAGAGAATACTTTTAATACTTTTTTCAAAAACATTGTCAGAAACTTGTTTATTAAAGCCCAAGAAAAACAAAATCTAAATACAACTTTAGACGTAAACACTTATAATAAAATACCAAAAACTAGATGTATGTGACTTTGTGTGGTCATTATAACACATCTAATTGAGAAAAGAACTCATACAAAATCAAAATGATAATGTTTTGGAAATTGCATAACACGCGTTACATATACCCCCAAATTCCAATATTGCCAATATAGTACGGAGAGGCCAGGTTTTCAGTAGCAAGAAAGTTGTTTATCTCGTGTGATTATATAGCATAGAGGACAATTCTGCAAATCCTTACTTTGGTGTTTTATTCACCACTTTGAGAATCAAGAGTGGCCGGCGAATTTATAAAAGATTTTGTATCGTTATTTTAATTCTCTTAAACTCGGAATCTCGGGTGGAAGTCAAACTCTATAAGCTAGAATAAAGACACATTCATTAATTCGTAGAATTAATTAATAATCATCATGATGCAATGCAAGTCAAACTCTATAAGCTAGAATCAAAGCACAGTAATTAATTATATAAATTCTTTCCGTTTCATTAAAAATATCATTCCAACATTGTTGTTACATAGGTTAATAAAACTAAGTAAATTTTTACTAAATCTTATAAAAATATACTAAGTAAGTTTTTTCTTCTAGTTAATAAACTGAAATAGTAAGGATTAAAAAAATGAAGTTTTAAAATCTCCATCAGAAATAAAAATGCTACTTTTATGAAACAAAAATAAATATTTTTTTTTGATAACTTCAAAATTCGGGTCTAAAACCTAATCTTTGGGAATACTTCTCCTTCCAAAGAGAAATTAAAATTTTAAAACAATATATTTGTGAAACAGAAGAAGTGTTATATGTTCCCCAAATCTCTCCAAAGTTAAACATTTTGTAATCGTATTTTCGGTTTGTGTTAAAACAATGTATTACGTATACGTTGCCTCCTCCGTTTCCCCCACGTGCATCACGTTACTAGAAGGACTTTTAATTCTATACCACGGTGTATATGTAAATGACTTTCATTTGATTTCCACCTTTGTTTAATTGAAAGTGTACCATTTAAATTATACCGTTTAAATTAGGCTGGTTACATGCGAAACATGATTCTCCCAATTTAAAACATTGCATCTTCTTCGATTAATTTTTTTGTTGGTTGGGTTATGTTAGGTAAATTATTTTGGGGTTGAAAACCATAAGAACAAATGTCACCAAGTATATTCTCTTACGAAAGTCCTTTTCTGTCGTAGAACGTTAATTATGGTTTGTAAGTTTGGTGACTATCCTGACTTTTCATAACCTTTAACATGTTCTTTGCAAAATCTGTGTCAAACACTAAACATTTGAAAACTTTCATATTCTTTTGGTGATTTCAGATTGGGAAAGGCTGTTCTTGATGATGGTTTGACTTTGAAACATGAGTCACTTTATATGTAAACTCATGATTACTCATGCAAAAAGTAATTTATAGTGGAAATCATTATAAGAATTAGAAAATTTGTAGAATTCATCATACTCTAAGAAAATTCAAAACTTCTCTAAAGAAAACTTGGGCATTTCTACTTATTGTCAATTGATTTTTAAAGTCGAGTAAATTCAACCCTAAGAAAAGATCGAATTTTTTCCAAATTTTTCATATGAAAATTGTACGTGAAGGTAATTTTTAAGCTTTGATGATAGCTGAAAAATCGTTTCCACCATTGTAAAAATCGTCTACATAGACGCATGAATCTTAATTGTTCCATTGCACCATTAATAACAAGAAATAAATCATACACAATGCGTAAGAGCATCTCCATCGGTAGACACTATGAGAGTTTCTCATATAATAATAAAAATACTATTTAATTAAATTATTTATTTTTTATTTTTTTTAATACTTCAACCAGTAAATTTGTGACATGTGTGCAGAAACTGTGTCTCAGAGTTTCTGGGCATAGAAACTGTGTCTCTCTCTCTCTTCATTTATTATTTGTTTTATTAATAAATTTTGGCTAGACACTCTCCTCTATCCCACCGATGGAAGTGCTCTAATATTGCTAAGATGGAGAGTAGTCTAGGGAGTTGCAAACTATCAACGTGAAGCGAGCTGAAAGGCTCCCACACTGTTTGGAGGGCTGGAGAGAACAATGTCCCAAAGCCCCTTTTCTTCAATTGCAATTACAAAGGGAAAAGAATTGCAAACTGCACATCCTATATCTGAGAGACTTGCGAAGTTTGCAAAATTTTAAATTTAATAATGACAAATTCTATCAATAATATATATATTCAAGTGTACTACGTAAAATTGTGACCATCTATCTAATGAAATTTCCAGTTCCCCCAATCAAATATAACCGATCCAAAAAAAGTGAGATTTAGTTTGAGATGAATGAGCCCAATGAACTATCATCCTAAATAGGCGTGGAAGAATGTTTCACATGGAAAATGGAGATCATTCAACACTAATATATGAGGAATATGGATATTTCTACTTATTGTCAATTGATTTAAAGTTGAAAACGTATAATCATTACAAAAAAAAAAAAGTTCGAAGAAGCAATAAATTGTTGACGTCTTTGAAACTGGGGCAAAATTTTTAGTATATTCATGACCTTCTTCTTGATGATCTCCAAGACTCACCAGGCGAGCTTTGTTACATTATAATTGTTGTGTTATTTTTTAATTTCTTAATTATATTAGAAATTTTCAATTGAGTCCTTGTGTGGTGTGCATTACAAAAGATAAGCAACTTTGGTTAGATGGCATATTTCTTGGTAAAATATATCCATCATAATCGCTTATCTTTTGTAATGTCATACCACACACCTCATCATAATCAAGGCAAGAAAAACGGATGCATGTATCTTCTTCTCTTCTTCTTTCCTTATTTAATTAATTACCTCCAATTTCCAACAACCACCCAACTTAGCTAAAATAGTCCGCAAAATCGAAGTATGAACACTATTTCGTATACAAATTATGCTTGCTTTTTATTGTTAAAAATATGTGAAATGTAATTGTTCCAAACTTTGAGAGGCAAATTTAGGAATTTATTTAGGTGACTTTGTTGAAGACAAAGTTTCCGTATAAATGTAGAAAGGCAAAGACGGTCCATTGTCACATAAGTTGGCCACTTATCCACCTCTGAAACATCATAAAGCCCTCCATTGGTTTAAAGTCTAGAGTGTGTCCACCTCCCTAAAATCAAATACATGAAACAATTAGGTACGTAACACAGTTAATTAAAAATGAAACCCTTTCCTTTTTAATTTATCATAGAAAATGTTAAGTAGATTAACAAAAAGACTTGCTTTGATAGTGGCAAATGTCATCTTATTAGCATAAGTTATAGTGTATCCAGCAACTTGATTGTTTATCATCCATGGTCTCCAATCGGCAATAACGGAATAATTGAGAGATCTTATCCATGCGTGAGTTCCAAGGAATGGTATTCCCATATCGTGATCACCGCTATTTAAAAACAAATATACATTATCTATTCAAGTTTTTTTGTAATATGAAGACAAAAATAATAATATGATACAGTAGTTGTCAAATTCTTACCTGTAGATTAGTGATGAGTAACCATTTATACTGTTATTCATATGGTATGGGACACTGCTTATAATGTCCTTCTTGTAAGGTATATCACGGTAACATAGTGCCCATTTTGTTATACTCTCCTGCAATTATTTAGACAATTTTGACCTACCATCATTCTTTATCAATATTTTCATAATACATTAACTTACATATATATAATTTTATTTATACATTCTTCACTTGAAGAACTTTGCGAACGCTTTTGTCATTGGCCCAGTACGAAGCTAGCGAATATCCATAGTCCTGCATAAGCTAACTTTGTGTAAGTATAATCATGAGATGTTCTATTTTTAATGATTTTTCAATGAGACAAAAGATAAACGTAAGAAGATCATTTTACTTACATAGCAATCAGGAGATGTATCCTCGCAGCTTGGTGATAGTATAGATTCCATATTTATTCCAGAAATTAGCTGTAAGTAACCACAACATTTGAATTATTTAAGAGTATAATAGACAGATAGATCATCAACTATATATTACCATGTATATATCCATAATCTATACCTTTTTGAAGTTTGTAGTGTGTTTTAAACATTCTACGTTACGAGAATCCACATTTATATAGTTTTCTCCACATGTTCTCTTCAATGACTTCAAGAAAATATAAGCGTTTTTGAAATGCTTCATTGTGATTACCAAAAGCTAGCACACCATATTTCATACCTCGTAGAGTTCATCACATATTAATGCCATTCCATGAGCAAATGGAACGCGGTAATTAGGATCGATATCAACGTCTGTTCCCGGATTTCCTAGCACATAACCCTTTTGTTGGTTTTGCATGCAAACAAAAAAATTATGAATTTCCAATGCAATTTTTTTTTATCTAAGTATATACTACGTATGAAGCAATCAATACTGACGAACCTGAAGATTAATCTGAGGTTTGCAGCATATATAATTTCCTGCATTATAGTGTGTATACTTATATAGTAGGGGGAAAAATCCAAAAAAAGCAAAACATACCTTTTGATCAAGAAAAAAAGTAGGAGCAATATATACCTTTTGAGATTTCTTGAACAATTGCAGGAACAACCTTACCAGCATAAGAATTTCCAGTGACATAGAAAGGATTAGAAACAAAATCTGGATGGTTGCCTATCCACTGCATTATATATAACAACCAAAAGAATTAAAAAAAAAAAATTCTTAAAACTTTCTATGCATGTTCAAAAAAATAAAAAAGACAAATCATGCATCAAGAGACATATAAGTTCTACTTTTTTAACCTTATGAAGAAACTCATGGACACGCTTAGCTTCTCCTGTGTCACTTGGTATATCAACAAGTGGAGTTGTTGAGTAGGAGAAGCCAGTCCCAACAGGCTGATCTAAATATATTATGTTGGCCACCTGAGAACCAATGATCAAAAGAATAATTAAGATGGAAATTTTTTGTTTTCCAGGAAATAATTCTGAACCTTTAGACCATTAGGCCCGGACCAGCCTAAAGAAAAAAGAAAAAAAAAGACTTTGTAAGAAGTTACTATATTTTGTATTACCTTTGTCCATGAATATGGAGTAGAGACCAAGGAAGGGATGCCTCCATTGTACCCATCAATCTTGATAGTCACAGGCCCTGCGATGTGAACTAAAAATCAATAAAAATTATTTAAAGAAGTGGAAAAAATTAATATGTTAGAAATTTACCATTTTCAAAAATAAGACCAAATAAAGAAGAGCAACCAGGTCCTCCACTTAACCAGAGAAGAAGAGGGTCTTCGTTTGGATTCCTCTCAGATTTGATGAAGTAATAGAATAATTGAACTTCCTCTGCCTCACCAACACCAATGTAACTACTCAATTCATATATGAATCATAAGTAGAGTCATTCGAAAACATCCGGTTTAGTAACTCACAACATGCGGTTTAGTTGGTTAATCGGGAAGATGAGATGAAGAGGAGACTGACCCGGTTTCGAGCTCGAAAGGAAGAGGACCTTCAAAACCAGGAAGATACCTAATGATAGAGGCTGAATAAACATGGTGAATCAAACCAAGTAGAAGGATAAGTAACTTTAGATACTCTTTACCCATTCTCTTATTTATTTTATAAGAATTATTTGCCACAAATGATGATATATATAATAACATTAAAGGGGTTAGGTTACGGTTCGTGATTCCGTTGTCATCTTTCTCTTAACTTAATTCTGTGTCAATCTTTGATATATAGTAACAAAAGGTCACGTAATGCTAATCTGATCTTACTCACACTTGGACACAAAAACAGAGAAGTAGAAACATTTTCTTTAGAGAGAAAAACTAGTAGTCCACATTATAGAATGGTGATCCAATACTACAGTTATGCTGCCAATAATGGAAACAAACAGAGTTCTTTATTCTTGTAAAGAAACTTACAGCAAAAGGCAACAAGTAGATTAGGAGAAGAAGAGGCAATCAAATCTGGAAGATAGAATATGATGGATTATCTGTAAAGATGTGGTTTTCTTGCATAATGTTGGCTTATTATAACATAACACATATATCTGTAACATATCAATCTGAGGATCATGCAAAGCACAAACTGATCAAAATGGGCTATTCCGTCTTCGGACCAACATGGCGGCCCGTGGTTTGTTTGTTTTAGTAATACTGTATAATGTATATTGCGTGAATTTTGTGTGTGTATATTATAGACAAGTCATTTATATAACAATTTTCCTGTCGTTATCACGTTTTTGTTGTTTAGTTTAAAATAAAAAGAGAGTTGCGTAGCATTAGTGTGAGACTTTGGTAAACCACTAACCACATTAAACATAGAGGACTGTTTATATAATAAAGACGCAGAGGTTAGGAACATGGAAGTTTTCTTCTTTGTCGAGGAAACATGGAAGTTTCAACTGCACAAAAGAACAACTGCACAAAAGAACAAAACATTAAATCTCCTAATTCTAATGGGACAAGTAACAAAAAAAACGGGCATCAAATCTTTCAATGAAAATAATGGTAATTATTTGAAAATATACTTTGTAAATATGAATTTCTCATACTAAGATAAACATGTTTTTGAATTTAAATATCGTGGGATGCTTATTGGATTAAAGGTCTAGAAACCGGAGCTCCTATAGCCCCGCCCCCGATAAAAATGCATAACAAGTTCTTCCCCAACAAGGCGAGCGGATTAGGATGTAAAAGATAAGAAAAGTTGACACTTTGAATTTCGTTCTCTGTTTTCTCAATGAGACGATTACAAGATGATTTTAGTAACGCAGTTGGAGACATGAATGTTGTCTGGGAAAGGGTAGGAATCAGCCATTGAGATACCTGTTAGGGTTCACAAGGCTCTGCTACCATGTAAAAGATAAGAAAAGTTGACACTTTGAATTTCTTTCTCTGTTTTCTCAATGAGACGATTACAAGATAGGACACTAGGGTCATTGCAGGCAGCATGATCATCTACGAGATTAAATTGTATGTCGGCCTTCTCAAAATTACCTCTTAAGTCTTAAGAATTTCAAACCCAATCATAGAACCTCAAAACAGACAAAGTAGTCGCTTTGGAATTGGCTAGGTTTATGGAACCATATTTCACGTAATTTTAACGTCTAGTATAATTTCTGAACAACAGAATTTTGGATTTATTTGTACGTTTACATAAATCTAATTAACAAGGACGACTCGTGAATGTCCTTACATTAAGTTTCACTGTCGAAAAAGTATAGTACAATACTTGGCATTAATTTCCACGTCTCAAGTCTATGCCGTCATTTACGGAGAAAGAAAATCTCTACCTTTCATCCAAACTACTTTTCTCACCTTGTTATATAATTCTTTATTATTCATTAGCTTACGCATGACTTTATTTAGATCTATTGTTACTTTAGGTGGTGTTATTCGATGATGGATTTTAATAGAATTGAAATCCAATACTAATCCAGTGTTATTCAACTAATGATTATAAATCTAACGTTAAAATCTGGTGTTATTAGATCTTATACTTCATTAGATTTTAAAAGTTTGGTGTTATTCAATGGTGGAGTTAAAGTCAATTCTTTAAGGTTTGTAAAATCCAGTGTTATTCAAAACTAAAAGACTTGTAAAATCTTTGTATATTAAGTCATTTCAAATGAAACCTCTTTGGAGTTTCATGAGTAAATTATTAGAATCAAAATCCAAGATATACTGCAGAGATTTTGAAATCCACACAAACAGATTCTTAAAACCAATATCAGAAAACAAATCTAAACCTTAAAGAATTGACTTTAACTCCACCATTGAATAACACCCCCTTAGTTTGGTCTATATATCTAAAATTAAATTAAAACAAAAAGACTCAATAGTCCACTAAAATGATGACCTAAGAAGATGGTTTTATGCCAGATTTTAGGAAAAGTAAGTCTAGGTTTCACATCTCGACTTTGACTGCATAATCTTCGCCATTAACAACGGAATTATATACGTCAAGCCAATTTTCCATGTTACGTTCTTTTCCATTGAGATGAAAATATTGTTTGGTTGATTAATCAAAATAAAGTGTTTGCCTAACTAATATAACTACGACTTTTCAGTGAACATCCCATGTAAACTCTCCTTGGTGTTTCATTTGTCAAAGAGTATTGTCGTTAGTCGTTAGTCATTAAAATCATTGAAAAAAATACAAGAATTGTAAAATTTTCTAGTAATACTTTAAAATTAATTTTTGATTTATTACCCCTTTATAAATAGGTGAAAATTTCTTTTATAAATAGGCTATCTCTCCAACACCTATAACCACACTCAAAAGAAAATCTTCTCTTCTAATTTGCTCTCAACATTTCTTTTACTTGTCTCCTTTGCGTCTCCACTACACATCACAACATGGCTTTGAAGACAGCCTTTGTTGCTTTTATGCTTCTCCTTGCCATCTATTCCCAAACGACGCTTGGTAAGTTTCTTCACGAATTATTAATAGCTCTATATATCGAAGTTATCTACATACAAGCTAGATATAATTCTACGATAAAACATTTTGAACTTGCATCGTAAAATTTAACAATCTAAATTAGTTTTCTCGATTATATGTTCAGCTTAACTCAGACATTTTCAAAGGTATATATGTTATTGTTATTGCATGTACATATATTATATATACTAAGTAGCATTGGAATTAATTTGGTAGGACACAATGTGAAGTGCGAGAATCTGGACGAAGACACGTGTGCATTCGCGGTCTCGTCCACCGGAAAACGTTGTGTTTTGGAGAAGAGCGTGAGGAGGAGCGGGATCGAGGTATACACATGTCGATCATCGGAGATAGAAGCGGACAAGGTCACGAATATAATTGAATCAGACGAGTGCATTAAAGCGTGTGGTCTAGACAGGAAATCTTTGGGTATATCTTCAGACGCATTGTTGGAATCCCAGTTTACACAGAAACTCTGCTCGGTTAAATGCTTAAACCAATGCCCTAACGTCGTCGATCTCTTCTTCAACCTTGCTGCTGGTGAAGGTACGGTTTTGGGGAGACCGGTACGGTTAAAATTACTTTTTAATCTAACAGATTGCGGTTTAATTTATTTGTTTGGTTTGCTATAGGAGTGTATTTGCCAAAGCTATGTGAATCACAAGAAGGGAAGTCAAGAAGAGCAATGTCGGAAATTAGGAGCTCGGGAATTGTAATGGACACTCTCGGACCGGTTGGACCGGTTAGGTTGGGCGAGATGGCACCGGAGCCGGCTACTTCAATGGACCACATGCCTTACGTGCCGGCACCTTCACCGTATTGATTAAGGCAACGGAAAATGGAGAGAACACGTACCATGTCATGAGTTTTCGACGAGAATAATTAAGAGATTTATGTTTAGTTCGATGGTTTTAGTATATTACATCGTTTGTTGCGTACTTATATGTATTTCATAAAACACACCACCAGGCATAAGAGATGGTGAAAGTAGGAATGCGTTCTGGTGTAACTTTTACACAAGTAACGTCTTATTATATTATACGACCCAATAATATGTGAGTAAAGTTAGGGAGGACTCTGTTCTATAATTTGAAATATGTCCATCAATTTTAGGATATAAAAACTTCAAACAAAAATATGCACATAAAATCGGGTTTAGGAAGATTTGGGCCTATTAATATTGGGCCAGACGTAATCAAGCCCATTTTAAACAACACAACATCCCCTAGCAAGAGCTTCTTCAACGAACAAAGAATACCTGTGTCTTCCTCCTCGTCTTCACTGCCTCCATCGCCGCCGGTGAAATCTATCGTGTTTCTCTAGATACAGTTATAGACCATGGTTAACCAAAGGCGAAGACTTGCGCAGAAGCGATACAAGGAAGCTAATCCAGAGCTGTTTCCAAAAGCAGAACCAACACCACCAAAGGACCCTAATAAGAAGAAGAAGAAGAAGAGCTTGTTCAAGAAAAAGAAACCTGGATCTTCCACTGATAGACCTCAGAGAAAAGGCTCTTCCACAAGACATCCTCTTCGAGTTCCTGGTATGAAACCTGGAGAAGGCTGTTTTATCTGCCACTCCAAAACTCATATTGCTAAGCTTTGTCCTGAAAAATCTGAGTGGGAGAGAAACAAGGTTTGTTCTTTTCTTGATTTTTCTTCTTTAATCATTGGTTTTGTGATTAGGGTTTTAGTTCAATTTGGTTTTAGAATTCAGTAGGGTTTTGGCAGCTCTTGTTAGAATCAATTGAAGGGTCTAATCTTTATGAACTCAAAGATGATTTTTTTTCATGGTTGAGTTTTTCTGAATGTTGATACTTTGATGATCACTAGACTTGTTGGTTGCTAGAAAATGAATGTTTTTGGTTTTGTTGTTTGTAGATATGCTTGCAGTGTAGGAGGAGAGGGCATAGTCTTAAAAACTGCCCTGAAAAGAATGATGAGAGCTCTGAGAAGAAGCTGTGTTACAACTGTGGAGATACTGGCCATTCACTTTCCCATTGTCCTTACCCTTTGGAAGATGGTAAGTCTGTTCCTTTATCTTCTCTTATTAGCTATATGTGTTAAATCCGGATCCGGAAGATTATCGCGTTCCCTATTAGAAGATTTTAACAAAAGTAGCAGTAAGAATTGTTGATTTCACCTCTCAATACACTTGACTGAAGTTTTTGTTCATGTTATTTGAAGAGTTAACTTAGTACCCATAGAATTGTATTTCTGGCTCTACTATATTCATTGTTGTGTGTTAAAAGTCACTAAGATTAGATTTGGTTGCTGTTTTGATTCTTTTGTAGGAGGGACCAAATTTGCAAGTTGTTTCATTTGCAAAGGACAGGGGCACATAAGCAAGAACTGTCCTCAAAACAAGCATGGAATCTACCCAATGGTACAATGCTCAGATCTTGTTTTGGTCCTATTCTTTTCCTCATAGGGAATGAGTTTTGATAACTATAAATTTGATGGGCTTTCTTTTGCAGGGCGGGTGTTGTAAAGTGTGTGGGAGTGTGGCGCATCTCGTCAAAGACTGTCCCGATAAATTCAACCAAGAGTCAGCCCAACCAAAGAAGACTTCAAGTAATATTTTCTTTTGATTCACTCTTTCAATTCTAATTTTGTGATCCTAGCAAGTATTCTCTCTTTCATTTGAGTCGTCTGTCAAGTGATTAGGAACAGTAAATGCGATCTCAGTTATCTTATAAAGACCATAACTTAATCCATGCCTGAAACGACAGGGTTTGATGCTACACCAAGAGGAAAGGTCACTAAGTTAAGTGGAGACGATCTTGAGGACGATTTCACTGAAGAGCTCAAAAGCAGCAAGAAGACCAATATCTCTGATGATTCAGATCAGAAGAGTGTCGATGTGAAGAAAAAGAAACAAGGTCCAAAGATTGTCAATTTCGTTGGATGAACACAAATTGAAACAAGAGGATCTAAAAGGGTCATCAATTTTGTAGGAAAAAATATCAAATTTTTGTTCTTTATCTGCCTCTAGAGTTGTGTAAGGACAAATTGCCATTTATGATTCAGAACAATGCTATGTAATGGAACAACACAGCCAAATCCTGTTTCAGATAATCTTCTAAACCGAACAAAACCAACCAAGAACCAAATAATCAAACCGCAAATTTATTTGAACCATATAAGGATAAACATATGCTAAATTTAGAGTTAAAAAACTCCGGAAAGAGAGGATGGTTAGGTGAATTTGAAGGATAGAGAGTAAAAAAAGGTGTGGTTTGATGTTATAAGAGGGAGAGGTATTAATGGTTGTCCGAGTTCCTCTCCATTGGCCTCTTCAAATCAAATTAAGAATCTCTTATTCCCCCAAATTTTTCATTTCTCTTTTTCTTCATTCTTCATCTATCCTCCCACAAAAGAGGACAAAAAAACAAAAACAAGAAGTCCCATTTCTCTTTATTGTCTTAGGTTTTACCTTCATCAACCAAACGCAATGGTATGTTCTCTTTTCTTCTTCCTCTTTTGAAAGAAAGTTGTATTTTAATAAAGAAGAATGTGGTAGAGTCGTAGGGATGAATAGAATATGCAAGTGAGAGAAATATATTCATTTGTATGTAACTTATGAAGGAGATTTGTTGTTTTGGAATTAGTCCATTTTTTCGGTTATTGGATTTGTTTTCCATGCATTGCAAATGTTAACTATGAATGTTTTATTCATCTAAAGACACATCCGATAAATAACTTATGAAAGTTTGAAATATTATCCTTTGAAACGCAAAAAAAAATTGACATTTGAAACAATCATAGTATTTTTCATATTTTGTATTGACTCATATATATCAACTGAAAAGGCGAACGCGGCCTCGGGGATGGCGGTGGAGGACGAATGTAAGCTGAAGTTTTTGGAGCTAAAAGCGAAGAGAAACTATAGGTTCATAATATTCAGGATAGATGGACAACAAGTGGTGGTAGAAAAGCTGGGAAGCCCCGAGGAGAACTACGACGATTTCTCCAATTCCCTACCGCCAAATGAATGCCGCTACGCTGTTTATGACTTCGACTTCACCACTGCTGAGAATTGCCAGAAGAGCAAGATCTTCTTCATAGCATGGTAAAATACAACTTTGAACATTTTTCATGTTAATTAATAATTTTATATTAGATTATATGGTTATGGATGATGCATATATATATATCTATATCATTTAGGTCACCGGATTCATCTAGAGTAAGGATGAAGATGGTGTATGCGAGCTCAAAGGACAGGTTCAAGAGAGAATTGGATGGTATTCAGGTGGAGTTACAAGCCACTGACCCGAGCGAGATGAGTCTCGACATCATCAAAAGTCGAGCTCTCTAGACCTCCATGCTTTTCTAATTACATATCCATAATCATCGTCATTCAAACAATTTCCTCATCTTATGTAACTTTCGATCTTGGTTTCATTCATTCTTGTTCTTGACTATTTTTTTATTTTTATTTACATTTTAAATTGACATGGATTTTATACTTTTGCTTGGGACAAGTTGAAACCATGTAGTTAATTTCTCGTGTTATAGCTGAATACTTTCGTTGAAAAATAAAGATATATTTTTCTCAATGTGAAACATCATCAAATTGTCGATATGTCCGAGTGGTTAAGGAGACAGACTTGAAATCTGTTGGGCTTCGCCCGCGCAGGTTCGAACCCTGCTGTCGACGGATTCATCTTTTTAGACCGTCGTCATTAAGACGGACATCATAAGTTTTACAATTAAAAAGAAATCACAGCAACAACAACCCACAAAAAATTAAAAGACATACAGAACAACTCATAAATAACCATGATTTTTTTATTTTTTTTTGGAATATTAGAAGGTTCTAGACCAAACTCCGTAATCCCCCAGACCCGAAACCACGTCATGTAATCTTAGTTTTGTCCCACATAAATAACAATGTTGCAAAAGCCAATAGAGAATGTAACAGAAACAAACATTAATACATATATTCTTTTGGGCTCACTCCAAGTTTTTTCCTTCGAAGAAATCGTTGAGCATTCGCTCAAGGTCCTCAGTAGTGAACCTTATATACGTCTGTGAGTTCTTACCACTCTCTATCATCGGCCTGAGACAGTGAGACACAACAATATTTTTTCATTTCTTGAAGGACAAGAAACCACAATGTTTTTGAATTAAAAGTGTTTTTGAATTGTATGTACCTGAAATGTTTGAGAAACGATCCGTAGGCAGGTAAAAGAACCTCTGCAATAGCAAGCCTGAGAGATTCACGCATCTCAACGTCCGGAACTAACCATTGGCATTGTCTCTGGTGAAGCTCTTCGAATTGAGAATTGAAAGTCTTGAATTTTTCTTTTACTAATGTTTTTGTTATACTTTTGTTCTTTATCAGACCGCTCTTACTCGACTGAACCGTGATACACTGTAAAATCTACATAAAGAAATGGTTAATCATATAGATTTATAAAGTGTTACCGTCTTAGCGAGCAAATTTTTCAAACCTTATTCCAAGAAACTGTCTGGTACTGATTTGCGTGTTGTTTTACGATTCTTCCATGTGTTTGAACCCAATCATCACCCAACAAATTCTTTGCTTCTTCCCTGTGAACAAATAGTTAGTCTCTTTGAGATAACATGTTATAAGGTTTTGGTTCTGTTTTAGAGAAATTCGAAAGCAGAACCAAACCTTCTAAAATGTCTCACAATGTAATACACATTATTCATTAAGAATAGTTGAGCTAATGCTGCATCTTCGTACTGTCTGGATTTACCCTCCAGATTGTTCATTAAAGCCCTCATGATACCCGTTAACGCGGATTTCAGCTTGGTATCAGGAAGAAGTTGCCTCAACGTCGATTTGTAACTGTTCCAAGTTCCAGAAACACGTTAAGTCCTGCAAAAATATATCACTCAGAAATGGTTTATGAGAAAAGTACTTACTCGAACAAGTACGTGACGTATCTCTCAACGTAGCTAGTTAGCGCATGTACGGATCCATCCATAACAACGGTTTCAGTCGGATCCATTTCAACAGCGTTTTCGAAATCAACAATAGTTTCTTTCACTGTCTGAGCTAATAGCTTTGTCAGATTCAATGCATCTTCTTTCATCTCGGTACAAGGTTGGCTTCCAAAGATCAACTCAAACTATGCTTCCAAGTTCCAATCAAAGGAAAATAAAATCAGATGAGCTAGCAACACAAACACATAAACTTGGATGCGGTGTATTCAATCAAACATTCCGAATGATTTGTGTTAAAATTACAAATTTTATGTAGTTCAATCATGTGTTTTTTTAAGTTTTATAAAAGGTCCAAATGTTACTATAAGAAAAAGCCTTCTATAAAAATCCAAACGTTACTATAAGAAAAAAGTCTTCTATTAAAACCCAAACGTTACTATAAAGAAAAAGTCTTCTAATAAAATCCAAATGTCTTGCAAAAGTCTAATAAGTATTCCAAATGTTATTAACCTAGTGATATGTATGAGATAATGATTTTGATATTGATTTACCTCTGGTTGAAGCTCTATCATTATCTCATACATATCTAAGATAACAAACACATTTTCCGGCGATCTCCTGCTGATAACGATAGCATATCCGAAACTAAGAAGCATATCAAAACTAATAGTAGTGATTTCAGCAAAAGACTGATCTCTAAGTGGCTCAACACCATCAAGTATTTGGTTGCAGATTTCCTTTTCCGCAGCAAATAACAGTTTCACCTGTCTCAACGTCAACAAATCAAGAATGATCTCATTACAATCTAAAAGGTATATATATTATGGTATTTGGAAGTGAGTTTTCGTACAGATATTCGCATGTAAATGATCCAATTCCGAATCTTGGCATCTAAGACGTCCTGCTTCATTCTCTGAACATCATCTTTGCTATGTCTCTCTACACCTAATTTCTCAATGCTCTGCGCCAACACTGCCCTACGAGTATCCCTTAAATATTACGAAAAGTAATGTATTAGTAATAATCACTATGAAAGCTTTTAAAACGATCTATATATCATATGATTCATATCCAATGAAAGAATGAGTTTCTACTAAATATTAGAAGTTAAGTACAAATTGAACCTGTAAGTTTCGAAAAGTTGTTGCTGATGACCAGCTTTAACCATTTGTTGGGCTAAATCATGAAGCAGAGGCAAAACCATAGGTGGGATGATTGTTGGGACCGTAAAATCATCTTTCTCTAAGCCATTTGATTGTGGATCATGACTCATTCCGTCACTACCGTCACCGTCTGACGATGGCCGAAGATTGCTTGGGAGACACTCGAAAAGGTGCTTAGGTTCTATTGGCTTGCTAAACAATTATGAAGGAGACAATAAAAAATGTTAAGACTTCTTTTCAAAAGAAAATGATACGCCTCAAACACGGTATTATCAATCTAAATGATAACACGGTATTAAGCAAATTTTGTTTGCTTCAATTAATGACAAGCTATTATGTATATACAAAGACGAACCTGTACTTTTCGAGAATCTGCTTGAACTTGCAAGCATCATATCCTGTGTTTATATCATCAACCTTACCATGATGTTCATTTGTGAAATGAACGTTGCTTGCTCCTCTTTCATCTACCTTGATAGATTCATCGTTGGGTTTGTCTTCAACCGCTCTTACCTCTCCTAGGTTTTCGTGAGCGTTAATCTCTGTTGCAGACTCCAAGCATTCCTTGTGGAAGAAGATACCGCATTTAAGACATTTGTATAACTGCTCTTTTTCTTGAAAACATCCAGCGTGATCATCAGTGGAATTTTCTATCGAGAGCTCATGAAGATTAGACATTTTGTGACATGTGTGATCTGCTGGCAAGAACTAGTTTGGTTATATAATGTTCATCAAAGTCATTATGACTTTTCCCTCATTTGACACTATATTTACACGACATTGACTTAGCATGTTAGTATATTTCTTTAATGCCATTTGAACAATGCTATAATCTAAAAGAATGAATAGTCACACTTTCTACAACGAATAGAAACTCATTTAGGATCGTAACTATGTATAGATTTAGTTACAACTTACAACATGTACGAACTCATTAATTAATAATGACATATACAAACACTACTACATGTTTGCAACTTTGTTTTTACAGAATATGTCAACTCTACAACATATATAAAGCTAATTGGCATTATGTTAAATCATGTCTAATGTCCTTCATGACCTTAATTTTCCTCGTTAATTTGAATTCTTCTTAAGTCCTTCATGACCTTTTTCTCGTTTGAATTCTTCTTAACTTTCCAGACTATAATTTTTGTTAACACAAATCGTATGCGACTTCTACTATTTATATACATAAACATTTTATTAAAAGTAATCTGACTTAGCATGTTATACAACTTGAACTAGAGTATACTTTAAAGAAGTTTAACATTTTCTACTGCATGCATAACATGTATAAACTCAGGCGGATGCGTAGGCTTAAACTTTTATAGTTATGGAAAAAAAACATCAAGAAAAGGAGAGATACAAAAGAACTTATAAATATTAAAAAGTAATGTTGCAAAAACAAACAGAAGAGAATGTACAACAAAATGGAAACAAAGATTAATACATACTTATCTCTTTGGTTCACTCCAAGTCTTGCCTTCAAAGAACTCGTTAAGCATTCTCTCAAGATCTTCAGGACTGAACCTTATATACTTCTGTGGGTTCTTACCACTCTCTATCATCGGCCTAATACACAACACAAACAGAGAAACAACATTTTTATGTCTTTCTTGATGAGCACGGAACAACTCTGTTTAAAGTGTTTTTGATCGTACCCGAAACGTTTGAGAAACGATCTGAAGGCAGGTAAAAGGACCTCTGCAACAGCAAGCCTGAGAGATTCACGCAACTCGCTGTCCGGAACTGTCCATTGGCATTGTCTTTGGTGAAGCTCTTCAAACTGAGAATTGAAAGTCTTGAATCTGTCTTTTACTGATGCTCTTGATATATTTGAGTTTTCTATCGGACCGCTCCCACTCGACTGAACCGTGAGACACTGCAAGATCTGCACAAGAAAATACTAATCAGAAAATAGTTTTAAAGCATTTTAAAAGCATAAACCTGAAATGATTGAGTAAACCTTTGCCCAAGAAACTCTCTTGTACTGATTAGCGTGTTGTTGTACGATTCTTCGATGTATTTGAACCCAATCATCACCTAATAAATCCTTTGCTTCTGACCTGTGAAAAATGTAAGTCTAATTCAGGATTATGTTTAATCCTTTTTAAGAAAGCTTGAGCCTGAGAAGCTGAACCGAACCTCCTGACAGATCTCACTATGTAGTGAACATTGTTCATTAGGAAAAGTTGAGTTAATGCTGCATCTTTGTACTGCTTCGATTTACCATCCAGATTGTTCTGTAAAGCGTGCATGATCCTCGTTGTTACCGCTCCCAGCTCGCTATCAGGATCTTTACTGTCAAACTCTTGAAAAAGTAGCCTCAACGTCGATTGGTAACTGTTTCGAAATTTCAAAAACCACTGATTAGTCCAACAATATTGACAATTATGTCCGTTGGTATATGTAAAGTTACTTACTCAAACAAGAACTTGACGTAATTTATAACGTAGCTAGTAAGCGGATGTACAGTTCCATCCATAACCGCGGTTTTTGTAGCATCCTTTTCAACTGCTTCTTCAAAATCAGAAAAAGTTTCTTGAGCTGTCTGAGCTAATCGCTTTGTCAGATTCAACGCCGATTCTTTCATCTCGGCACAAGGTTTGCTTCCAAAGAGCAACTCAATCTATAAAAGAAAGACAATTAGGTGCGATAATACATATACTTTGTGTGACGGTGTGAGACACTAAACGTTACCTCGGGTTGAAGCTCTCTCATTATTTCATACATATCTAACAGAACAAACAGTTTTTCCGGTGATCTCTTGCTTTTAGCAATGGCCTCCCCAAAACTAAGCAGCACAGCTACACTATTTACAGTGACTTCCCCAAAACATTGATCTCTCAGAGACTCAACACCATCGAGTATTTGGTCGCAGATTTTCTTTTCCGCAGCAAATAACAGTTTCACCTGTTTCGAGACAACAAAAGCGAGGGCGGTGTAAACGCAGGAAAGAGTTACGATCTATTAAGGTATTACTGTTTTGTGGAAGAGAGTTTTGTACGGATATTCGCATGTAATGTATCCAATTCCCAATCTTGGCTTCTAAGACCTCCCATTGCATTCTCTGAACATCATCTTTGCTAAGCCTCTCCACACCTAATTTCCGCAAACTCTGTTCCAGCACCGCAGCTCGAGTATCCCTAATAAAGTACCAAAACCAATATGGATCAGTATATACAACTTATGAATTAACCAAGAGAGGCTAGCCTTAATAATCTAGAAATAGCTGTTTTTGTTTCCAAATCCATTTGAAATGCTCTTTGTTAACAACTCTAGGTGAGTGTTTTATTCAATTGGAGTAAGAGAAAATGTGGAACTACAACTTGAGATTAATGTAAAACCAAGACAAGAATCAACAAAGTAAGGAAAATTTGGACCTGTAAGATTTGAAAAGTTGTTGTTGATGACCAGCTTGAACCATCTGTTGGGCTAGGTCATGAAGCAGAGGCAGAACCCTTGGAGGAATGACAGTTGGGACAGTAAAAATAGCGTTTTCTAAGCTCTTGTGATGCGGATCATGGTTCTTGCCACCACCACCTTCACCTTCTGATGATGGTCGAAGATTGCTTGGAAGACATTCGAAAAGGCGATCAGGTTCCATTGGCTTACTAAAATATTAAAGAAAAAAATCAAGTGTTAGACCAAATCCTTGCACAAGCAAACTAACTTGAGTAAATCTGTATAACCGGAAGACGAACCTGTAGTTTTGCAGTATCTGTCTGAACTCATCTTCTAGCTTTGATAGAGCTTTAGAGAGTAAACCGTGAGCATGACTAATAACTCCACTAGCACTTTTAAACATCTTGTTGTTGCTGAAGAATTTGATAGTGCCTCTTAGTTGATCAATTGCTTCCAGATAGCTTTCAAGATCCTCATGTGGTCCTCTCAATATTTTAGCTTCAGCCTGACAAACAAAAATTTGATCAATCATTATTCAGCTTAATTGTTAATTCTGCCACACACACGAAAAAAAATGATCATAGATTTCACTGAAGACAAAAAAACTCTCCTGCAAACCCTTGAGAAGTAGAATGATTGCACAAAGAAGAGCTTCAATAACGAACATCAAACTATCGATAGATACATATATAGAGGGTAAACCGTAAACTACGCTGATCGAGCAGAGTACTTGATTGAGTCCTAACTCCTAAGAATCACAGCATCAAAAAGCAGACATTTGCTAATTTGCTCACATGATACATTCACCACATATGTTTCAGTTGTAACTTCAACTAGAGAAAATCTGTCTACATTTATCATCTTAAGAACCCTTAACTTGAGGAAACCTCAGGGGAACAGAATGATAACTTGAAAGACAAGGAAACCGAAGGAGAATCGTGTAGAGTGTAAAGAGAAGACCAAACCTTTCTAGAGATATCAAATTGATCCAATATAACCTCAGCTGCTTTCAATGCCTTGTCAATATTCTCATGAGCTCTCCTTATAGAATGTGTTCTTATCTACACAATCACAGTCACACGCAAATGCCAAAAATTCAAATGAAATCAGCGAAGAATCCGGAGTTATTCTCTCTGAATCCAGAATCTTATTTAGATTTCAACAGAGATAGATCTCAGATTCCACAAACCTAGACAAATTTCAAGAGACCCTAATAAAACAAAACAGAGAGATGAAGAGAGACCTGTGTGGGACGCATGGCGGTTTCAAGAGCCGACAGACGATGATCGAAAGAACCTAGGATTCCGACCATGTTATCGGTGATGGTTTGGCTCTTATGTAGAGACTCTTTCATCAAACCTGCTCGCTCGGTTAGGGCTTCCATCGCTTGAGCCACCCCCATTTTCTCGAAATTTTCTTGATTTGGATCCAAGAACAAAGAAAATGGTAAAATTGAAGAGAATTGTTTTGGTTACGTGAAGATTCAGAAACTTTTGGGGATTGGAAAAAATGTAAATGTGTTTGTTTGTTGGTGTAGTTAGAGACGCTCCTCTACGATTTGTGAGAGACGATACAATTAAAAAGTTTCATGCGATTTTGCTTGGAGAGACCCCACATAAGCGATAGATTCGCTACTTTCATCTTTTTAGGTTGATTTTGTGGGTCCCTACTTGTTTTTATCAATTGGGAAAAAAAATATTATGAGCTTTTATTAAAGACTCTAATATTAATTTTAAATCGATACCCTTTCTGATAGTGGAAAACAAAATTTACTATCATACCAAAAATAAATCATCTATTTAGGTAAAGAATCATATATATTTTAGTCAACAAAATATTTTTTAGGATACACATCATCATTATTATCAATCATAATCATCATATATGTAAGAATAGAGAGATGAATTTTTAGAGTCTCTACACTCAGAATCAAAGTTTCTATGGTTAAATCTCTATCTTCGTCTTCTTCTTTACTTTTTCTCTTTCAATACGAGAGAGTGGTTTTGATTTTTCGATCGTTGATTTCATCATAAAAATTGTAGTTGAGAGAAATGAAATTTTGGTCATGAAGCCATGAATATGTTTTTGTCGGCTGATGTTTTTTTTACAATCTTTTGTGGGTTTTAAGGGTTTCGATTGAAGCCATGAATATGTTTTTTTTTCTAGAAATGAATTTGCGTACGTATTGAATTGATACAGATTGAGGAGCCATATCCTTGAATATGATCAAAATAATATCATACTCCAATTGGAGTATTATTTTACGATAAATTTATATTAGAATTGTGCATATTTTAGGGGAATTACTCCAATTTTATTTATTCCAATCGTTAATTTTTTTAATTGAAAAACGCTGCAGTAATAGTACGGTCACGGCGGAAATGGTTGGCAACAACATTAGCAACAATAGATTCTTTTTCACTCTAATCGTTAATCTTTTCTTTTTTTTTTGTAGTTGAAGAAAAGAGATCTTTGACGTAAATTTCATCCTTGAGAATGGCAGAGACTGATGTGGATGATGATTATGGTATGTGTTTTTCAACAAGATATTTTATGAATATCGTTAAGATTCATCTTTGTTTTAGGAAATGCATACATACAAAAGAAAAGTTAAAACGGATTAAAAATGTGTTTAGAGTTTTTTTTATAATCTGTTTGTGTTGCAACAGTTCAGTTTTGTCTAGCATTTACCATGTAGTTCTAGAAAGATGTAATTTTATAGTATCCTTCTTCTTTGTTTGGTTTTTTTGTGCTTTAGTAATATACTTCTCTTTTTTCAGCTGTTTGATGTAAAATTTATTATTTTTCTCAGGCCTTAAACCCTCTGAGTTATTTGCAAAACATACATGGAAGATTGAGAAATTTTCACAAGTCGGCAAAAAGGAGTTCCGTAGCAATTGGTTTGAAGCTGGCGGATACAATTGGTACATGACATATCTTTCTCATCCTTATACTTTGTCTCACAATTTTAAAAACTCTGGAAGTGGTTTTTAAAGCCTTGTTTTGTTACTTTTGTCTTCAATGTGTCAGGTATATTTTAATTTATCCAGAAGGATGTGATGTTAGCAATTATCTCTCATTATTTGTTTGTGTTGCAAACTATGATAAACTTCTTCCAGGTTTGTATTTTTGTCCACTGGTCTGTTTGGTCCTTTCTTTCTTTCTCTGGATATACTTAGTGATGTAGGTTCTTTTGGTATCTTGGACACCAGGCTGGAGTCAGTTCGCTCAGTTTACTATATCTGTGGTGCATAAAGATCCAAAGAAGTCTAAGTATTCAGGTGATTTTTTGGACTCTTAAGTTTGCTTGCTTCCATTTCATTATGCAGACAACTGAATTCACCTCTTGCAGATACTCTGCACCGGTTTTGGAAGAAAGAACATGACTGGGGATGGAAAAAGTTTATGGAGTTACCCAAGTTACATGATGGGTTCATAGATGATTTTGGCTCTCTTACAATTGAGGCTCAAGTTCAGGTGATCAGGTAATGCAACAAGACTGACTCTATGTTAAAGCTATGAGTATAATTTTACCACATGCACCGTCCATGTTTCCATGCTACCTACCATTCACTTACAAGTTACAGCTCCACATGTTCATATGTTCTCCTAATTAAACACATATGATAAGATTATTGGTTCTTTTGCAGAGACACGGTGGACCGACCTTTTCGCTGCCTTGATTATGATTACAAGAAAGTGCTTGTTAGGGTGTATTTGCCAAATGTAGAGCAAATTTTCCGACGTTTTGTGGAGGAGAGAATAAGCAAGCTTGAGAAGTTGATAGAGGACAAGGCCAAATGGACATGGTATTTCACAATGCAACTTAATATATTGTCTTCCAACCATGTCTCTGGAGTCCAAAACTAAATTTGCATTCTTGGTTGCAGCTTTGGTGATTTCTGGTTAGGGATGGACCAAAACTCTAGACATCGGATGTCTAGCGAGAAAATGGACGTAATCCTAAAAGAAGTTGTAAAACACTTTTTCAAAGAAAAGGAAGTTTCATCTCCTGTGGTGATGGATTTCTTGTATAGTGGATTGAAGGATCTTGAAGGCCAAACTAAGAACAAGAAAGCTAGCCCAAGACTGTTAGATGACAAGGAATTGCCAGCTCCGTTGGTTAATGTGGACAAAGATATGTTCGTATTAGTTTATGATGATGTGTTGTTACTTCTAGAGAGAGCTGCTCTAGAACCATTGCCTCCAAAAGATGAGAAATGTCCTCAAAACCGTATTAAGGTCAGCTTATTTCCATTATCCGCGTTATCGTTTATCTTATATGCACTTTTCTGCTTGAGATGGGTTGTTGCATTATCCACTAGAAAGTTACTTGTATTGAGAAAGTTTGGTTTTGTTCTTGGATGCAAATCTAGGATGGCAATGATGAAGAAGATATCAACAAGGAAGCTTATGAGCGTGATGAGATACGTTTAACTGAGTTGGGTAAACGAACTGTGGAGATATTTGTTCTTGACCATATCTTTAGGTAATAATGCATAATTTGTTTCTATACTTGTAGTGATTGTGTTGTTCCTTGATGTGCTTATGTATCGAACTTCAATATATCTGAGAACTGCAGCAGCAAAATTGAGGTTGCATATGAAGAAGCTATTGTGCTAAAAAGGCAGGAAGAACTTATTCGTGAGGAAGAGGAAGAAGCGTCGAAACGGAGCAAAGGGCTAAAAAAAGGTTTTGGGAAATGTAGACTGAATTAGGTTCGAAATGTTTTCTGTTTTGCGTAATTTTGTTTCGGTTTTCGGTACTTGAGAAATCTAGACCATATGTTGAATCGAAATAGTCTGGTTTGGTTAATTGTTGCAGAAATTTGGTTTTGTTTTGGTTAACAAAGTAGCTCTCGAGAAGAGAAACACTTCAAAATTAAAACTTGAAATATTTCATATATTCAAAAACAGAGGTTCTTAAGAGAAACATCACAAACTCTTAAAAGAGAGAAGATGGGGAATTACAAGTTCAGAATTCAACGTGGATCTTCTTAAAATTTCCATTCAAGAAACCCATGGGCGATGGTCATTGATAATCCAGCGGTTGGTTTTGTTTTTAGTAGAGAAACCATTTTGGTTTGATAATACCAAAATATGGGTCTGAATTATTATTTGTGTTTGTTATTGGGCTTAGGAACACAAATATGATACTGTAGAATCAATTGTTTTTTTTTTTATTGCTAAGAGGTTGTGAGTCTAGACCGTACATCTCCTTGAGCATGGATCAGAACATTTATATGATTATCTCCAAAATACTCGAATCGTTGATCTCTAGTACTATCAATTGTTATTGTTTTTGGGTTTGATTTGATATACCAAGATATGGGTTTGAAACAATTGTTATTGTGTTTTTAAACTATTATACTGTCGTATCGTTTATAATTTTGTCATATAAGTAGTTTAAATTTTTTTATAAACTTTTTTTAATTTCTGAATATGAATCATTTTTATTTTAATAGTCAATAAACTGTTAAAATAAGATAGTTAAGGTTATTAGTCATATGTGTCTACATTTTTTTGGAGCATGTATTTTAAAATTTAATTTGGACTATGAAATGATGGTGCACATTAAGATTTGTGGTTAGTGGTTGGTAAGTTGGTGGTACCGACACCTTCTTTAGCATGTGTTTTTTTTTTTATTAAATGATCGACAAAAATACCACACATGTCTAAAATTTTTTACTCCATATAATGATTTTTGCAATTATGTACTATATATATTTTTTTTGGTTTTAATGTGAAGAAAAATAAAATTATGTACTATATTGCACATAATTTTTTTTTTGAGTTTGAATTTTAATGCTATTAGAAATTTAGCATTTTAGACTAATCAAAAAAATTCATATACTTCACTTTAACTGAGTTTTAAAGATTTCGCACACAAATTAAAATATAATATTATAGATATAATCGTAACCATAGAATAATCATGTTGATAACGTGTTACAATTAATAATAATATAATTTATCATATAAACAATGATGAAAATTTAATATCTTCAGAAAAATGGATACTCGAATCGTAAAGAGATGATAGACCTTTGTATTACTTCTCTTTGTAAATATAGATGTCAATTGTACAAAATAAAGGATGATTGAAACGTTGTTTATATAAAATATAAAAATAAAATAATTATCTTGTATATTTGACAAAGACGCGACACTTTTTTCTGACGTTTGCAAAACCAGTGATTAAATGTTCAACATATGACATATACCTAAATCTCTTACATGTATTATAGATAGCAAACGAGTTCTTGTATGATTTACTCACTCATACGAAAATCCATTATTTTGTTGACCAAAAAACAAATCCTTTTTGTGTGCAATAATGGCGATGATCATAGGCTTACTTGAAATCTTCATGGCAATCATTTCATTCCTTGTCTACCAGTGTTTCTCGCTCCACAAGAAAACTCCAAAGCATATGGTTACGAACTGGCCGGTCCTTGGGATGCTTCCGGGTGTGGTCCTCCACATTTCTCGTGTCTATGACTTGGTCACTGAGGCTCTTGAGGGAGAAAATATGACGGGTTGTTTCATAGGGCCATGGCTTAGTGGAACAGACATATTAATCACTGCTGATCCGGTGAATATCCAGTACATTCTAAGTTCAAACTTCGTTAATTACCCTAAAGGGAAGAAGTTTAACAAGATCTTTGGATTCTTGGGAGATGGGATTTTCAACGTTGACTCGGGTTTGTGGGAGGATATGAGAAACTCGTCTCATGCAATTTTCAGCCATCAAGATTTCCAAAGTTTTTCGGTGAGCACAAGCGTAAGCAAATTAAGGCAAGGGCTTGTTCCTATTCTTGATAACGCTGTTGAGAAACACATTCTTGTCGACTTGCAAGATGTGTTCCAGAGATTCTTGTTTGACACATCTTCGACTTTGATGACTGGGTATGATCCAAAATCTCTCTCCATTGAAATGCCTAAGGTTGAGTTCGCTGGTGCGATGGATGGTGTTGCAGATGCGATGTTCTATAGACATCTCAAGCCGGCTTTTCTGTGGGAGCTCCAATCTTGGATCGGTGTAGGAATAGAGAAGAAGATGAGAAGAGGTCTCGCCGTTTTCGATCAAATGCTAGGGAAGATCATATCGGCTAAACGAGAGGAGATCAAAAGTCATGGGATTCATGACTCGAAAGGAGAGGAGGCCATGGATGTTTTAACATATTACATGACTATAGACACGGCCAAATATAAACACTTGAAACCGAGTAACGATAAATTCATCAGAGACGCTATTTTGGGGTTTTTGATAGCGGCAAGAGACACAACAAGCTCAGCTCTCACTTGGTTATTCTGGCTTCTCTCTAAGAACCATGAAGCAATGACCAAGATCCGACAAGAGATTAACAAGAAGATGCCAAAGTTTAATCCCGCAGATTTAGACAAGCTCGTGTATCTAGATGGTGCCGTGTGTGAAACGCTAAGGCTATACCCATCAGTCCCATTTAACCACAAGTCACCGGCAAAGCCAGATGTTCTTCCAAGTGGGCATAGAGTCGATGAGAATTGGAGGGTAGTAATCCCTATTTTTGCAGTGGGGAGGATGAAATCTGTTTGGGGAGATGACGCAGAAGATTTTCGACCAGAGAGATGGATTTCAGACAGTGGAATGTTGAGACAAGAATCTTCGTATAAGTTTTTGGCGTTTAACGCTGGTCCAAGAACTTGCTTGGGGAAAAGGTTAACATTCTTGCAGGTGAAGACAGTAGCGGTCGAAATCATAAGAAACTATGACATTAAGGTCGTTGAAGGGCACAACCCCAAACCAGTTCCTTCCGTTCTTCTTCGCATGCAACATGGTCTCAAAGTTAGTGTCACTAAGATTTAGTGAACTTTTATTTTTATTTTATGTTAAAATAAAATACTCCAGTTGTGCAAGGGGATTATGGGCAAAGATTAATATAATAAAAGAAATGAAGTGAGTACTAATTCTCCAATATTTCAATAAATGATGTCTCTGGTCCACGCATGTTTAGATTTATTTTGCATACACTTCTTGTATCATTCGTTTTATTTTTTGGTTTATAATCTTAATTTCTATTTCTCTTCCTCACTGAACAGTGAACACCCTTTTAACAAAAAAAAAGTTTTGAAACGGTGAAGGTGGTGGAGGCGTGGAGCTGTAAGATTTGAAATACAACACTCACTGAGCACTTTTGGACAGTCCAAGACAGCGTTTAGGTTCATAAGGCCCAATAACCATTTGCTTGCACACATGGGCTTTAAGCCAAGTTACTCAAAGTGAACATGAGTTGCAGAATATTCAACCAGATCAATTTCAACTTTAAAACCGTCGCAAATTTCTCAAGAGATCTCAAGGCTGATTTGACAAATTTCTGGGCATGCTACTTCTAACCCCAAGGCTGATCCAACTTTGTTTTTTTTTTCACAGAAATGAAACGCATAGCCCATAATTGGATCAGCCTTTGACCTGTCAAAATGATGAAAAAAATCTATCATAATTAATGATGATGTGAAAAGAAGTAGTTCAGAATTTAGCTTATCAGAACGATCACTAAACTCGTGAAATTGTATATCCAAAATCAGCGTAGAAGCAATATACACCTTTGTACGTTAGTTACGTCGGTTGTTATTATTGGTTTTCTTGAAACAACAAATTATTTTCCATAATGAGCATTTCAATGATACTTTTTTTTTCACTAAAAGAACTAACTTCAGCCACAAAAACAACTCATTCGTCATCTTTTAAGCTTATGTAATTGTCATTTAATGAATTCTAACAATGAAATATCATTCAAAATATTTTGGTTTCATTTTTGTAGAACTTTTTCTGAGTAATCAGGGAGTCAACAACTCAACAAGTGTAAAATCAAATGTGTGTAAAAATACTTATATCGTCGAGAACTTTAACAATAGAGACAACACCTCAACAAGTCACAATAAAAACTAATAATGTAAACTCCAATGATTTTTTTTTTTTTTCGTCTAAAGGATAGATTATATTTCATGATAAAAGTTACAACATTGGCGATCCACGAGATGATCCCAAGAACTAAGTACTAAACGATTATGAGAACTAAGCCGACGGATAACTGGATATCCTCGGAAACTAAAGCCCAAAAGAGGGAAGCAAAGGCAAAACAACGCCAAAACCAAGAGGGATGAATCCGAAACCAAACAAGAGAGATCAAACAATATACTCAGAATTTAGCACAAATCAAAAAACCAATCACCAAACCAAATGAGAGCAAAGCTTGACAAAGTGGCTACCCGAAAGGGATGAGAAAATCCACGACGACGGAGAGCGACTCTTCCTTTAACAAATGAAGACTACCTCACAGAGAAGGAGAACCAAAGTATCCATACCAGCAAGAGGGGAACTAGGACGAAATGACTAGCACCGAACACATCTCCTGGAAGCGGCGAAATCGAGGTAAACTGAAACAACGATTTGTCCACGCCTAAGAAGATACTAATCCTAAGAAGAGATCTCGATCAGATCTAAAATGTAGAGACAAGGACCGAGCCCAAACAATCCGAGCCACACCGAAGACTGAAGACGGTAAGAGCACGAATCGGATCGAAACACAAGCTAACTCCAAAAGGCAGACAATAGGCAAATGAAAAGGATGCTAAACCACAAAAGACTGAGCAAAAAGCAGATTCCTCCATAGCAACGACCACCCTAAGAAAGCCATGACTAATCGGCTAACAAAACCAACAATAATGAAACACCGAGACCAAAGGCAGCAAACCCAAAGACGGAAGAATACGAAGGTCAGATGTTACCGGAGAGGAAGCAAGAACATCTCGGCCGTAGTAGAACCCAACAACACGTCAACCAACACAACGGCAGCGGCCAAAAACCAGATCTGAAACTACACCCAAAAACCACCGAAAGAGACAAGACGACATCGCGAAGCACCATCACGAACCAAAGGAGGCGACGCTCAGGGAAGATCTTGCCGGAACCGGAGAAGAAACAAGCCTAAAGTCACTCCAAAAACTTCGAAACTAGATCCGTCGTGGAAACTCCAATGATTATTTCTAAGATCTTTGAAGGGAAAGATTATTATTCAACCCAATTTAAAGCTGTAGTCATCTAGAGCTTAAGTATCTGTGTTACGTAGGAACAACTTCTTAATCCAACACCAATAAAATTTATTAACCAAAGTCCTTTTCACACAAACAAGGAATTATATCATAATACATCAAAGACATCAAACAAAACACACATAAACATTCAAAAGTAAAACTTAAATCTTAGTTCTCATATTCTTAAAGCTCCTTATGCAGCGGAACAACGGTGGAGCCAAGTGATTGTGGAGACTCTTCAACGGAATGTGGCGATTTTGGCTTCACCTCCTCCGTCGCACCACCACCAAACCAGCCGGATGTTTTTGGAGCCTCTTCAACAGAATGTGGCGATTTTGGCTTCACCTCATCTGTCGCAGCACCACCGAACCATCCTTTAATCCTCCCAACCATTCCTCCTCCTCCTCCGTTCACTTCCTCATCCACCGCCTCACCTTGTTCTCCCTCCTCCGACGCCTTCTCGGTAGGGATCTTCTCCACTTCCTTTGTCGTCGTTGTCTTCTTCTCTTCTCCTCCTCCAATCTGAAGTTTCTCTGCAATCATCTCAGAAAAAGCTTTTTCTTCTTCTTCAGGCGTCAGTTTCTCCGCCGGATAATCTCTACCCGACACATTTTTATCTTCCCCTCGTTGCTCCTCCGCTCCACTTCCACCTCCTGAGAGAGGTAACTTCGTCGTCAAGGCAGACTCTGTTTCTTGATCCTTCTCATTGACTGGTGTCAACTTCTCATCATCAGTTCCCGTCACTTCACCTTGTTCTCCGGCCGCCAACGCCTTCTCGGTAGGGATCTTCTCCACATCCTTTGTCGTCGTTTCCTTCTTCTCTTCTCCTCCTCCAATCTGAAGTTTCTCAGCAATCATCTCAGAAAAAGCTTTGTCTTCTTCTTCAGGTGTCAGTTTCTCCGCCGGGTAATCTTTACTCGACACACTTTTACCTTCCCCTTGTTGCTCCTCCACTCCACTTCCACCTCCTGGGAGAGGTAACTTCGTCGTCAAGGCAGACTCTGTTTCTTGATCCTTCTCATTGATTGGTGTCAACTTCTCATCATCAGTTCCCGTCACTTTACTTTGATCTCCCGCCGGAATCTCTCCGGAGTAACCTAGCATTGAAGCAAACTTCTCTGTGTAAGTACTCGTTTTTGGCTCCTCTGTTTTCTCATCTCTCGTTTCCTCAAAATCATCTCTGGACTCCTTAAACTCATCTCTCTCTTTAGGACGAGAAATATCCGGTGAGAATTGATCATGAGTCTCCGTCGGTAAGTCTCTTCCCAGCTCAGTCTCTACTTTAACATCATCACTTCTCGCCGGAAAGTTATCCTCTTCCGATGCCTCGCCGTATCCAGGTCTTCCCTTCGCCAGAAAATCTGGCTCTCCGTCAAATCCCGTCGGCGAATCTTTGTCGATACCAGATTCATTCTTCACTGGAAAATTTCCTCCCAATGGAGCTCCTAATCCGCCGTCAGATTCCGGCGAATACTCGTTTCTTCCAGATTCAATCTTCTGATCAAATTCATCACTTCCCGTCGGCAATTCTCTCCCCAGCTCAGCTCCTGATTCACTTCCAAATCCCATCGGAGAGTTCTTGTCGTTTCCAGATTCTGTTTTCAGATCAAATTCATAGCTTCTTGATGGAGAATTCGTGTCCGTTCCAGCTTCAGTCTTCATATCAAAATCATGGCTTCTCGTCGTAAAATCTTTTTCTAGCTCAACTCCTGATTCGCCACCAAAGCCCGTCGGAGAATTCTTGTCGTTTCCAGATTCTGTATGGTTTCTCATCGGAAAATCTTTTTCTAGCTCAGCTTCTGATTCACCTGCAGATTTCACCGGCGAATCCTTGCCGAGAACAGAGTCGAATTCCTGATCAAATTCTTTGAATTCTTTGCTTCTCGTCGACAAGTCTCTTTCAAATCCTTGTGGTGGTTTCTGATCAGGAGACTCATCAGTCACTTTCATATTACCAAGAGACTCAGTAATCTCCGGTACTCTAGCTTCTCCACTTCCTAGATCAAACACAACAGAACAGAACAGAGTTACTACATATTCATAAACCCTAAAAACAGAATCTTAAATGCTCAAAGTTCTTACCTTCTTTGGTGGGATCAGTAACTTTGGACTGATAATTAGATGCACCACTAAGATAATCAGACCCTCCTCCTGTAACAGGCGGAACTTCCTCCAACTTGATCGGTGTCTCGACGTTGACTTTCCGTTGACCATCAAGATAATCATCATCACCACTAGGAGCAAACGTCCTCTTGATATCCTCTGTTGCAGAAAGCAGAGGAGTGTCAATTGCCTCGTGATGAGCCTCTCTGCTCTCTTCCTTGTCCGATGTAACCGTCGTTCTTACAGAATGAGCCGGTGCATCGTGTCCGTAAGAGGTATCCTGTGATGGTACAGATTCAGTGGGTTTGGTGTACCCTGGAGGAACAATCTCCTCCGCTGCCGGAACATTAGTTTCTCTCGGATGACTCAGAGACTCTGGTTTACCTTTTACACCTGCATATACAATTACAAAACCGTTAATCTCACACAAAGTTGAATAACCACTAGTTTTAGATCATAAATTGAAGGAAACTATAAAAGAAAGTAACCTGGTGCATCGATCACTTCAGGTTCTAGCTCGTCATCTTCTTCAACTACATCATGATCATGCTCATTGCTTTGATCATGTTTAGTAATACTGTTCTTGAACTTCTTAGCTCTTGCCTTTACTTTCCTAAACATCTTAGACGTACCATTCTCATGATGTTGAACTTCTTCTGTATCCACAAATCACAATAAAATTTGGTAAATTAAGTGGAATGTCACATAAAAAGAAACAAACCAAAGTTTCTAAAACTAGAATCTACTTAACTACAAGGAATATGATATATTTACCTGGTTGCTGCTGGTGTGTGTTGAGTGGTGGTTCCGCGGTTTGATCCATCTGCCAAAGATTTTTTTCTTTCCAAGGGAAGTAATAAAATTCTTTATTCCTGATGATTGTTTTCTAGTTTGCATATTTGTGAGTAAAACAGAGGAGGGTTTCACTAAAGTTTATAGGAGACTGAGAGAGATAAAATGTACACGTGTTTTCGTGGTGTGACGTCAAAAGTCATTTTGCTCTCTACACGTGTCTATGTCGGCTTGATCTTTTTTTTTGTTTTTTTGGAACTGATGTCGGTATGATCTTTTTTCTTTTTTCCTTTTCTTTAAAGTTTAAAACTGATGTCGGTATGATCTTAATTCGATCCTAAGAGAAGTTTCCTATGTAAATTTCTATTAATGGTAGTCGGTCTATGTCTATTGGCCCATCATGTGGTCATTTTACGTTTACATTGTGTGGCTGTTTATTATACAACCTTTTTTTAGTAATCGGAAGTCATTCAGATTTTTAGACTAATCTCTCCCGTGTAAAGTATACAGTCGACTATTCCATTCACCAAATTTTTTAATAAACTTAGAACATAGCATCATTTCGACAAACCAAATAAAATAATTTAGTAAACATTACGTTTGAAAAAAATTAATATTTAATCTAAATTTTCAAGATATTTCTTTCTCAAATGAAAACTATTAAACCATTACCACTTGATTATAAATGTTTATTATAACAAATAATACATCGTTTTCATTCAATTTTTTTTAATCATTTTAATCAGTATGATCATTCTAATCGGTTTTGATTTTATTATGTAGAAAATATACTGTTTCAAACAATTAAAAAATATATATTTATATTTAGAAAATAAAGCAAAAATAACAAATTAATTTATATTTTAAAATAAAATGAAAGATGTTTATTATTTATATACCGTATAGATTGGAACAAAAGTAGATGAATTGAGGATCTCACTAAAAAATATTCCATATTTATGAATCAAATGGAAATCTTTCAATATGATTTATTCTGGAAAAAGTGAAAAAGAGAAAATAGAAGAATTTTTTTCTCTGCAAATTGAGATGAAAATATTTTCCTCTCTCCTCTTCATTCACTTTTTCTTACCATTTACTTTCAATTTAACCAATAAACTATATATGATAAAAAAAATATTTGCTACTAAAAAATTACACATATAATATATATGCTAACATCATTATAATATATACTAGATTTTAACCCGCGGTGTACCGCGGGATGATTTATTTTTAAAGTTAGTATAAAAATATTTTATAAATTGTATCTCCTTATAAAATATTTATTTATATTATAGTTTACAATTGTTATTAAGTAATGGTATACCACGAGTCCACGAGACAATTGTTAAAAAGTGAGGATTTAACCCGTATTAAAGCGGTATGTTAATGATATTTATAAATATTGATTCAAATTCGTCAACCATATAAACCCGTTCCGAAATATAACCCGTTCCGTAATTTCTTAACCCGTCCCATGATTTGTATTATTTTAAAATTTAATGATTATTTTTGGTTTTATACAATCTTTTTTAAATGAGACTGATTTAATATGTCTAATATTGGTGGTATTAAAAAAGAAATAAGGATTTAATCCGTATTAAAGCGGCGGATTAATGATATTTTAATCTTTTTATTATTGTTGATTCAAAAACCCGTCCTGCCAAACCCGTCCGGCCAAAAAACTCATTTATTTTATTAATGTTGATCTTATTTATGATATGATTCTGAATCATTTTCTAAATATTTTAATCGATGTAGAACGTTGGACACATATTTTTGTCAATTGGATAATATATGTCCGTTTTGAAAATTTCGAATCACAGTATATGCAGAAAAAAAAATTGATTTTTTTTTTATACTTTATGTATTATATGATGATTCAAAACAGTTAAAAACAAATCAAATAAAGATGATAGGAGAATCATAATTATAAATCTTAATCAAATATTCTAAATATCTAAATTATTAAATATGGAATATCCGGTGTATGAGTTGGGTTATATATAACCCGACCCAACAAAAATTTTATGACTAAAATTTGTAAACGGGTCGGATATCCGATTAACTTAGAAGCACTTTTACCCACCCGTCACCAAAGTGTTGTAAAAATACTAGTATAGATACTAATTCCGATATTACTAATTTTTATAAAGGTGTATTTAAGTTCTATAACATAGCCATTTAACATAAACTCAAAAAATAAAACTAATTTGTGTGGTACCAACAACAGTGACACATTAACCCACAATAAATTAATTTCTGTGGCAACAACAGATGCACTGCTTCTACTGAGCCTCCTAAATTTTTTTTGTCTATGATCTTCTATATCCATCGCATTTATCATCTATGAATAATTTAAAAGTCTGTATTTGAATACCCTTTAACAAAAAAAAAAATAAAAAAAAATAATAATAATTAAAAGTCTGACGTTAACTTGTTTTTGCATTTTTAAGCTATAATGGGCCGATAAAGTAGAGTTTCTTGACCCAAAAAAAGTAGATTATATATTTGGGTAAATTGCAGGCCAGGGCATAAGACCATTTTTTAATTTCATGGTTTGGCAAAGTGAGAATTGGTTTTCATGTTTTGACAATTTAGCCAAAATCTGACCATTTTACCCCTGCCAGCGTACCGACGTACTGTTCCGTGTACGGTTCAATTAAGCGGTTCAGTTAGGTACACTGTTCCCGTTTGGTTAAGATAATTTCGTTTTTTTAATGTTTTGTGCGGCTGTACAGTGAAAAGGGGAAATAATTACATTAAAAAACAAAGAGACATCAATATTTAATGGCTAAAAAGTTTAGACAAGACTCTTGTCACATTTAATGCAAAACTCATCATTACACTTGTTGTAATATTAGTTTATACGTGTGAATTGAATAATTGTAAGAGATAAGCATGAACCATCAAACAAAAAAATTAGTCTGAACGAATGTGATGCTGGAGAAGTTTTGATCTTGTTGATTTACAAAGTTTGGAGCCAAGACAAGCATTGATCGTGTAAGTAATGCAGTTGGTTAAGAAGTTTTTTGTTATAACACAGTAGGATCTTGATTGTGTTCGAAATCAACATTTTTTTTTATATAAAAACCCAGAAATTTTTATTTCCAATTTTGTTTGTTGAAAATGCTAAATGAGGATTTATATATGTTTATAAGTGTGTAGTTGGAAATTCTTTTTGTTTTTTGTAGATATAATCATGTTTTCAGTTGTATTTAATGGGGTTCTGCTGAATTTATGATGCAGGTGGGTAATGGATATTCCCGTATTTACTACGGTGGGTGAGTGGAGATGCAAAGAAGAAGAATGGAAATTTGAACCAGAGGAAGGCATGTTTGGTCGCTGTGTACGTGTTAAGGAAAACATGACGTACACGGAATTTGTACGTACATTATGCGAGGTTTTCAGTTTGAAGTCCACCGAATGCAATTCCATAATTAGTTACTGGATGCCGGGAAAGATGTCAGTGATGATAGAAAGTAAACGCCCTCTTGTCTACATTGACAATCAAATGAGCCTGGATACGTTCTTTTTGATTCGTGGTGGAGATCCTAGTGTCAACTTGTTTGTCTCTTTCATTACAACCGTCAAGGCACTCGGAAATACTGTCCCTAGGACCGATGGTGACGATGCTGAAAGTGACATTGTGTCTAAAAGTGCAAAGACACCAAATTCCATTGTAGCGGCTTCAAATTTCGATGCAAATAATGAAGCCGTAGATGAGCAAGACGACGTTGAAGACGATAAAACAGATGAGGATGAAGAGGAGGAGGACAACGAAGATGGTGATGGGTATGATGATCATGAGGGTGACGATGGATCTATGGGGGGGAAGTACCCTCGATCCTACTATAGACGGTAGTGAAGGTAGTGGCGAAGAATACGATTACAACAAGTGGAATGATTTAATTGAAGAAGAATATGAAATTGGGAATGTTGAGGAAGACGTCATTCACACTGAACATACTGTGGAACATCCAGGGGAATTCAGTCGTTTAGTGGCAGAGTGTACGTACACAAGTCAGCGTGTACCTGACGGAGAAAACATTTTTTATTTGGGTGACATTGCACCAACCGTGACTCCAACCCGTAAGTATCGACATGGTTTGTACTTTGTACCAATGTACGTACACTAGAGAATGTGTACAAGATACATGATGCGAAGGTGATTTTGTTACGTACACGGATACCAATATTAATGGTAGAGACAAAGTTAATGGTAGAGACGAAGTGACTGGGGATGCTGTTCTAGAGTGTGGTATTGGAGGTTCAGCAAGTGGGGTAGTACATGATAACCGGCTAGTAACCGCATATGAGGCTTACAGAGTGTATAATGGGTTTTCTTCATTACATGGTTGTGAGGCGAAGATTCTCGATAATGATGTTGCTCCTCTATTCGATGATTTACCCAATTTTTGAGCCGATGAGACACAAGTTGAACTGAGTACGACAAGTGTTACTTTGTATGTGGGGAGTGTTTTTATGAACATGCAAGTCATACAACAAACAATGGCTTTTCTTGCAATCAAAGTTTGCTTTTGCTACAAGGTAGTGGCGAAGATTACATTACAATAAGTTGACTCATCTTGTTGTTGAAAAATATGGGATAGGACATGTCGGGAATGCTGGTGACACTCAACTTACTGTGGGGCTAACATGAAAATTCAGTTGATTATTAGAAATGTGTACGTATACTAATTAACATATACGTAATTGAAAAAGCATCGATCATTTTGGAGAGAATGGTGATATTCAACCATTTGTAGTCATAACCAGGAGGTAAAACATGATTTTTAGAAGAATGTACGTACATTACTAATAATGTACACAAGGAAGTATCTGACGATGAATGTTTGATATACACAAATGGTACATGTCGCCAATATTAGTTTATTATTGTATCAATAAATTTATCTTAACAAATTTTTAACTCTCCAACAAAGATGTACGTACATTACTATACGTATACGTACATAATCTTTTCAGAAATATGAGGAACAAATATTCTTTGACCATATATTTTTACTTAATTATTATATATGCATGAATTTTATTGAGATAGACGAAAGTAACAAAATAGCTTAATTTTGGAGTCAAAAGAGGGTGGTTAGATATATAATTATTACAACCACTTTAATATTGTATCATATACGTTCCACTAAATATGTTCGTGTACGTACACCGTAAATTATATATACGTACACAGAAGAAATTCGATGAAGGGTAAAACTGTAATTTTCCTGTCGTCTTCAACCTCCTCTTCTGCAACCCTAATTTTGCAGCCCTCAGATTTATCTTTATTCCCAGACATCTCAACAACGGTTGCTATCTCGCCGAAATTTCTGAGTTGTTCTTCGCCGGATAATCACTAACTTGCTTTTCGCCGGATAATCACTAACTTGCTTTTCGCCGGATATTCGACTTGAATGAGATGTCTCAAATTAATTTGCAGAACAATTGCAACGCAGATTTCGAAAGACGAAGATGGATGAATGAATTTCGATAAGAAATTTGACTTCTCTCTCGATTCTCTCTGTATCTCTCGTTCTTCTTCTTCGTTTTCTTTGTTTTTTTTTTCTTAAACAAATTTAAAACAAAATCGCAAACCAAATGAAACTGAACCGAAGCTAAAGAAACTGAACCGAATCTACTGTGATGTTTAATTTCTGTCGTTAGGGGTATTTTGGTCAGAATCTGCCTTAATTGTCAAACCCTGAGAACCGAATCTCACTTTGCCAAATCGTGAGAGTAAATCTTTTTTTCATTGCTTTCGTGAAAATTTCTTTATATATTTTTATCAACCCAATCTCTATTTCACACAAACACCAAAATACATCAAAGTTACAAACAGAGAAGTATCATACAAAAACACAAACATTCAAAAGCAAAACACCAAATCTTCAGTTCCCAGAATCTTGAACTCCCTTAGCTCCGCCAGTACCAGCCAACTCACTTCCACTGGAATCCGTAAACCCCATAGTCCCTACCATTGCAACCAAAACGTTTTGAGTAAACCACAAATAATAAACACATCAAAATCTTAACATCACGTATAACACAAGGACGAGTGAGTTTTACCAACGGTGGTGCCAAGTGATTGTGGAGACTCTTCAACTGAATGTGGCGATTTCGGCTTACCACCGAGCCAAGAAGTGACCGCTCCTTTAACTTTCCCTAACATTCCTTCTCCTTCTTTCCCTTCCTCAGCAACCGCCTCACCATGTTCTTTCCCCTTCGATATCTGGTCAGAAGGTATCTTCTCCACCGTCACTTCCACCTCCTTTGTGGCCGTTGACTTCTTCTCTCCTCCTCCTCCAAAATGAAGTTTCTCAGCTATCACCTCAGATAAGGCTTTGTCTTCTTCTCCAGGTCTCAGCTTCTCCGATAGATAATCTCTAGTCGACACACCTTTCTCTTCCCCTTGTTGCGTCTCCTTCACTCCACTTCCACCTCCGGAGAGAGGAAGTTTCGTCATCACCGCTGATCCTGTTTCTTTGACCTTTTCGTAGACCGGAGTCAACTTCTCAGCAACAGTTCCCGCCACTTTCTGCCCGTAACCCGTAGCAGACCTCGGAGTTTCATCCTTTACAGCGCTTTCGTATTGCCCGCCGCCGCTTTCTCCGGAGTAACCTAGCTTTGAGGCGACGACGTTCTTCGCCGCTATAGCTTTGTTGGTTATGGCTGATGTAGCTGAAGCTAACTGCTCTGTGTAGGTTCTCGGTTTCGTCTCCTGTTTCGTCTCATCTCTCTCTTTAGGACGAGATAGTTCCGGTGAGAACTGATCATGAGTTCCGGTCGGTAAGTCTCTTCCCAACCCAGTCTCTGCTTTCACATCATCACTTCTTCTCTGAAAATCTTCCCCGAGACCAGCTCTTGATTCTCCTCCAAGTCTTGCCGGAGAATCCTTGCTGATATCAGATTCGTTCTTCAGACCAAATTCTTGGCTTCTCGTCGGTAAGTCTTCTCCAAATCCTTGTCTTGATTTCTGATCAGGAGACTCATCAGTCACTTTCATCCGACTAAGAGACTCAGCAATCTCTGGTACTCCAGCTTCTCCACCTTAAACACAACAGACAAGCGTTATTACAGATTCATAAACATAAAACGCGATCTTTATATCTCGGCCAAAGTCATTACCTTTATGCGTGGGATCAGTAACTTTGGACTGATAATTAGATACACCACTAAGATAATCCGAACCTCCTCCTGGAGCAGACAGTGCCTCATGTCCGTAAGAGGTATCTTGTAATGAAACAGGCTCAATGGGTTTGGTGTGCTCGGAAGACACGACAGGAAAAACCTTTGTCCCTGGAGGAACAATCTCCTCCGGTGCCGGGACATTAGTTTCTCCGGTATGACTTAAAGACTCAGGTTTACCCGTTACACCACCTCTCACGGCAGAGGATTCATACACTGTGCATACACATAAAAAACAGAGAAACCGTTCATACACAAAAACAGAACTACTAAAAATCATTTGTACTGGAATAAATGATAGATTGACGAGGAATAAACAAAATTAACCTGGTGCTGCGTGCACTTCTGGGTCTTGCTCGTCATACTCATCATCTTCTTCTTCAACATCGCGATCATGACCATTGCCATGTTTAGTGAGACTGTTCTTGATCTTCTTAGCTTTTTCCTTTACTTTCTTCAACACTTTAGATGCTCCCTTCTCATGATGCTCTTCTTCCTCTGTATCCGAATCACAATTAAGTAAGCAAATTGAGAGAAAGTTTCTGAAATTTGAATCTACTTTTCATAGTTATTATATACCTGGATGGTGAATTCTGATTGGTTCTTCTACTTGCTCATGACCATAAGGACGTGTCAACTGCGACTCCATTTTCCAAAGCTGTGTTTTCTCTTTTTTCAAGTGAATCAATCAAACTCTCTTTGTTCTAGTGTTGTTTTCTTCTTTGTGTGCCTCTGAGAAAAACAGAGCAAGGGTCTTGAAAGTTTATAGAGAGAATAAGAGAGAAGTATGACATGTGGCCCGAACCACCTCTCTTGGCTTTTGTCTCTTTACTTCTGTAGGATTCTGACACGTACGATGCGTCCTTTTCCTCCTGCCACGTCTCAGCCATTTGCTCTCTACGTGGCTATGTGATCTTTATTAGAGAAGGATATTTTTTAGGGTTAATAAAATATCTATACCTGCAGCGGCAAATAATTAAGGATCTGTACATATCATTTCGTTATTTAGGCTGACATTTTCTTGCAAATTAAATATGACGTAATTACCCCTACACGACCACAGAATCGATAGCCTACTGCCGTGAGATAACGAGCATTAAATGCTCGGTAAATCTACCAAGATATTGCGCCGCCCTCCTGGGGAAACTAAAAAAGAAGGTAAGAAGTAATGATTACATGTGATACGAAATCGATTTTAGAGATATGGAAGCTACATGTTTGCCTATTTATTATCTCCATATCGACATTGCTGCAACAAGAAGAACTTAAACAACTAACATAGTAAACACTGCAACCGTAATAACTGAAAGAAGAAAGAAACACATAGCATTTAAGTCTCAGGTGTGTAGTTATGGCGATTTCTCTTTGGTTTTCTACCTATATATAAAGGTACTTGTTATTTTTGAGAAAAATGCAGTCGTTAACAAAACTTTTAACATGCTGTTTAAACAGGAGAAATATGTCGCTGATCGTCCGGCTTGTGCGAGGAGAGTGGAAAAGGGACGAAACCGGGTGTTATGAACATGTATCCGAGATAGAAGGTTTCTGTCTAGCCGTTCGTTTGCGAGAAAAAGACAGTTACGCGAGAGTAGTCGAAGTAGTGAAAGACAAACTTAAGCTCCGACCGGAGGATGATATCGAGCTGTCTTACCAATGGCCGCAATGGATGATGGGACCAGATTGGCAACGAGCTAACCCCATACACATTCACGACGACGAAGATATGTCGTTGTTTATGGCCATCCGAGCAGATCTTGAGGAGATGCATCTCAAAGTTAAAATCGTGAGAGGGACGATGACAGAGCGTACGGTGAACTCATACAGAAGCCACATCGACATCGGAAGCATGAGCGCAGAGGCGATATCAGACAGATATTGGAACAGTGCGGAGACAAGGGCTGTCTGGAACACTGCGGTAACGAGGATGTTGCTCCGTAATCTATCAGATAACGCAGCCGGCAGCAGTAGCCCACATGTTACCCAACCAGAAGGTATGGCTGGCGCGATGGGAAGAAAACAGGCCGGAGGGATAGTAATCAATGACAACCAGGGCATAACAGGGGTAGGAAGCGTTGATCCAATAAACATGACACAGCCAGAAAACGGAGTAAGCGCCAAAGGCAAGGAGCCAGCCATTGACGAGGAAACGAGGAGAGATTTGGAGTTTGAGATGTGGAGAAGAAATAAACAAGCTGAGATGTTGAAAGAAATTTATGCAACAGAGATGACACTGGGGGTTCCAGAAAGAACAGAGGAGGAAAAAACGCCGGAGAAGAGAACAGCAAGAGCACTTGATTTCGGAGATCAAAATAAAGATGGTACAAATCCAAACATCGAAGTCCAACTAACACTTGCAAGTGCCGAACCAAATACGGATGGGCCAATGATAGTATCTGTATCATCAACGGACTCAACATATGGAACACCAACAGAGCTATCTGCAAGCTTGAGCTTCGACAGTGACGAGCTGATGGATGACACAGATATATCGAGCAACAACTGCCTCTCGCAGATAGGTAAGTTACTAGATAACTATAAACATATCGTAAGTGTAGTGTTACGTGGTAACTAACTTGGAGTGTGATTACTGAATGTAGGGGAAGACATGCTAGCTCATTATTACTCAGACCCAGATGGGCCGCTATGTATGGGACCGACTGATACAACAAACATGAATAAGAGAAAGGCAGTATCAGCCCCCGGCGCCAAAACATTTCAAGATTTGGGAGAGGCATCAACGGCAAGGGTAGGAGCAAAAATGGGGGAGATGGTTTTGAAGGAAATTCCGGTTCCAACAGTCCTGTATGATAGAGACGCACCACCGTACTTCGACGACCCGGGAGAAGAAGGTAGGTGAAGTGTATTTAGTTGCCTTTACTTAAAAAAGTAGTAGTTAACATATCCTAGTTACAAATAACTATTACGGTGATAACAGTTGTTTCGATAGCGACAATAGTTGCTAACACAAATAATTTGCTAACGGTATTATCACTTCATAACTTAACTTAACCGTTACTTTTTCTATTGCCAGATTATTTGCATCGGGCCCTGATGGATGCCGACTACGAAGGGGACGACATATTCATTGGCAGGTTGTTCAAAAGTAAGGAAGACTGCGCAACAAAGCTTGCTATTCATGCAATAAGGCGAAAATTTCATTTCATTTACGCCAAATCATGCCCCAACATACTGTTAGCGGTATGCGTCAGCCATACGTGCCAGTGGCGGGTTTACGCAACAAAGCTAGAGGATAGCGAGCGATTCGAAGTTAAAAGCGCGACTCTCCATCATACTTGCAGTGTTGACGCGCGAGGAGACTTCCATAAACAAGCATCAACTGCGGTTATCGGGAAATTGATGCGGACCAAGTATCTTGGAGTTGGGGGAGGACCACGACCTAACGAGTTGAGGAAAATGCTACGACAAGAATTTAGCCTTAATGTGTCTTACTGGAAAGCATGGAGGGCCAGAGAAATAGCAATGGACAATGCGATGGGTTCAGCAATGGGGAGTTATGCTTTAATTCAACCTTACTTCAAACTTCTGTTGGAGACAAACCCTAATTCATTGGTGGCGTTGGAGACAGAGAAAGATAGCTCCGGTGGTGTACGCTTTAAGTATTTGTTCTTCGCACTCCACGCTTCCATCCAAGGATATGAATATATGAGGAAAGTGATAGTGATTGATGGCACTCACCTAAGGGGACGGTATGGAGGATGCCTAATCGCTGCAAGCGCTCAGGATGCCAATTTCCAAGTTTTCCCCATTGCTTTTGGGATAGTGAACAGCGAAAACGATGATGCATGGACATGGTTCATGGAGAGGCTAACAGATGCGATACCTGATGATCCAGATCTAGTGTTTGTGTCAGACAGACACTCATCAATTTATACAAGCATCCGTAAGGTATGACAAAATCCTCAAACAGATGACTAATACGTTTACTTCTTTAGCACTAACTTAACCAATATCATGATAATATAGAAATTAGCAAGATAAACATATAATTACATATTACATTGTTGAAATGCCTTGCATATACTCATTAAACAAAATAACGCCTCGGTTATGATGGTGCAGGTTTACCCTATGGCTTCACATGCAGCTTGCGTGGTACATCTGAAAAGGAACATTGTAGCAATGTTCAAATCTGAGGCGTTAAGTGTTCTAGTAGCAAGAGCAGCAAGGGCTTACCGGCTAAGTGATTTCAACGGAATATTTGCTGAGATAAGAGCAATGCACCCACCATGCGCAGATTACCTAACAGGGATCGGGTTTGAGCATTGGACTAGGTCGCATTTCGTTGGAGATAGGTTTAACTTCATGACGAGCAACATAGCGGAATCGCTAAATAATGTGTTAACAATGGCTCGGGATTATCCGGTAATTTCTATTCTAGAATCACTGCGAACCACGCTGGTTACATGGTTTGCCCTCAGGCGAGAAGCTGCTCAGCAGGAGGGGAACATTTTACCACCCAAGGTGAATGAAATGGTGATTGAGAATTTTGAGAAAGGAGCTGGATATGTGGTGCTTAAGATCGGGGAGGCCAATTATGAAGTGAGAGATAGAAATGACTCCGGATTTGCTGTAAACTTGTGGGAGAGAACTTGCACATGTAGAGAGTTCCAGCTATTAACAATTCCTTGTTCCCACGCAATAGCAGCAGCTATAAAAGAGGGGATTCGGGTAGACACAATGGTAGGCATACATCACACAGTGCCTCATCTAAGGTTGGCCTACCAAGGCATAATAATGCCAGTCCCCGATATGGATACACTAACTCCGTCCCCAGATGATATCGGAGGGGGGAAACTGGCCCCACCTTATGTCCGCAGGCCACCAGGTCGCCCAAGAAAGAGAAGGATGCTGTCAAGGGGGGAGTTTAAGGTAAGATAGTTAACGGATAAGAGTGTTAACAAATAATAAATATAGTTATCGGTCTCGTATGATATGTAATAATGAAGTTTTTAAATTTTTCCAGAGAACTTCGGCGAAAAGGTGTTCACGCTGCAGGGGAATTGGCCACAACAGGGCAACATGCCGTGGGCCGATAGCGGTAAAAGATATATAGCTAACAATGATTCTCTATGATTACAACTAGATTCGATAGGGTAGGTGTTATCAGATAAAACATGGAAACATGTGCTAATTGAAAAAGTCATGTACCGCAGGGGGGCAAGTAATCGAGGAGGGAGAAGGTTTTTTGGCGGTTGAAGATGGAAGGAGGAGACTGTTTTTTGGACTAGGGAGGGTTTGAACGGATGGTGCCGCGATTAGGGGACTGGCAAGAAGCAATGTTTTATAAATAACAAGAATTCCGAGATCAGAAAATTTTCAATGTATATACGTACGGATCCTGATCCAAGAAATGTGTATTATCTGCAATCAGGGACGATCCCAACAAACCTTCCTTATGAATGTTAAATATATGTTTATGTTGAATGATATGCTGTAACAAAATATGTACCACGATATATACCCTCTACTTAAAATTAACAAACTTGAAAGGTAACTAGCGTCCTGAAATAAAAAGATAAGACAACAACGACTTCACTAAATAAAAGATTACCGCGTAATGAATGTGATAGAAGAAAAAAAAAGAGTTAAAAAAAGGGTTAGCAGTAAAATGGGTATAAATGAGATACAAAAATAAAGAAATAAACTGCTACCAAACTGTAGATCGACTAATTTGGGCAGTGCCACGATAACAAAAGCTGCGAAAAAAACATCTTAACATTGATGTTTAAACAAACAATTAAACGTGATAGACATTCATTACAAACTACTAACAAAAAAAATATGTACTACTTAGTGAAGAATCGCGATAACAAAAGCTACAATTTGATACCCGACCCATGCCTAAAACCCGACCCACAAACCTATATACTCCATCTGCTTCTCCAAACCTATATAAAAAGATAAGACAACAAACTTGAAAGGTAACTAGCGTCCTGAAATAAAAAGATAAGACAACAACGACTTCACTAAATAAAAGATTACCGCGTAATGAATGTGATAGAAGAAAAAAAAAGAGTTAAAAAAAGGGTTAGCAGTAAAATGGGTATAAATGAGATACAAAAATAAAGAAATAAACTGCTACCAAACTGTATATCGACTAATTTGGGCAGTGCCACGATAACAAAAGCTGCGAAAAAAACATCTTAACATTGATGTTTAAACAAACAATTAAACGTGATAGACATTCATTACAAACTACTAACAAAAAAAATATGTACTACTTAGTGAAGAATCGCGATAACAAAAGCTACAATTTGATATCCGACCCATGCCTAAAACCCGACCCACAAACCTATATACTCCATCTGCTTCTCCAAAATCCCCAAAACGAAAAAAAAAAAAAAACCTAAAATCGTCAATCACTGAAATCGACCCCTCTAATCATGAGCAATATCTCTGGAGCTTCAAGTGGATCATCAAATGTCCGACAAAGAGTGAAAGGCGTACCCAAAAAATGTTGGTGTGGAGAACAAATCGTGGAAAAAATTTCAAAATCCGACCCAAATCCATTCCGCCGCTACTTTCGTTGTGGTTATGCTGCAACAAATAGGGTAATAGCCTTTCGTTGAACTTTGGAGTGTGATGTTTATTTTAGCTTCTCATTGAACTTATACTTGTCATTGTCGTTGAAGCTTATGAATGATAACCACACATTTAAGTGGGTTGATGAGGCATTGTGTGATGAGGTATCGACATTGTTTGAACAAACTAAGGGACTGCAAGAAGACATGAAAGAGATCATAACAGATTCAATGAAGCACGACGAGATGATTTTCGAGAAAATGCAGAAGGAGCTTGAGAAAGAGATTTTTGAGAGAGTGGAAGATGCTATGATGGAAAAAATGACTGAGTTCAGTTCCAGGATGAATAAGATGATGATTTTTTTTGTTTTTGGTTGTTTGATCATGGTGGGTGTCATTAAGCTACTAGGTTGAGTCATCGTTCTCTAGTTGACTCAGATTTGAGTCATTGTTGTCATTGCTTATTTTGAGACATCGATGAATGTTTGTTTTATGTCATTTTGGTTGTCTTGTGTGTCTAATGTATTGTTGTAAGGGAATGGATTTCTGAGGAAACAAATATCTTAGGTTAACGGCTATATCTTACTTTAACTACTATATCACGGGTTCGGGATTTCAATAGGAGGATAGGAGCTTTACCATCAAAGTGGAGACGATATTCAACAAGGGTGGGTGCAAACATTAAAATATTTTTTAGTTAAACGTCGCGGTTAACATTATCAGGGGGCACTTAGTTTTACCCAAAAAATTACTGAATTTGTTACGTAGTAACAAAAGGTTTACGTTACAACAGGAAGGATACACAGGTAGGGGTTACGAATCGGCCAATTAAGACATAAAAAAGAACAACCAATTAAAAACTCCAGATATTACTTAAAAAGAGTGATAAACAAAGAAATTAAAAAGGTAGCAATACCCAAACATTAAAAGATGAGAGAGATAGGTTCAGGATATGAAACAACTAAGATCGCTAATAAAACAGTTAGGAAGCAACACCGGCAATCATTATGGCACAAACGAGCTTTTTCACTTCACTCTCAATCGCCCCAACGTCAAAATCATTACACTCTTCCAGCCCTCCAGTGGCATGCGCATGAATTAAGAAGACAGATACGACCCCAGAATCAAACGGAGATGAAACCTGAGGGATGGAGAGAGGACGTTCAATAGAAAATGGGTTAACAAGCAACTGCTTCATAGACGGATTAAATGCAGCTTGTTTGAAAAGGAAAGGCAGCATGACAGCAAGAGGCTGAAGTTCAGATTGGAGAGCTGCATCTTTACGAAGCTGATAATTGGAGTCAAGGACTACAATCTTGCCGCCATTGAGGTCAACACACAATGCAACCCAATGTTTTTTGTCGAAGTTAAACGGCAGGTAAAGATAATCAGCCTCCGAAAATAATTCAACCCGCTCAGGATCCCCAGCTCCCCGTAACATATCAATCAATGTTGCTGGGAAAATGAAATCTCCAAGGGTATCAGATTTGGAGAACTTGTAATAAAGACGAGTTAGCTGGGAAACAAACTTCGAATCGAGGACTTCAACACGCAACTTCTCGCCGTCACCATCGTCAACCCTCAATATATGCCGACTGAACTTGATTAGTGCATCCAACACCTTGAAGGAAACCAAGAAAAAATAAACAAAAGGGGTTATGATAAATTAAAACAAACAAAGAAGAGGATTTAATACCTTGTTGTTGAGATGTTTTTTCCGCTCAATCAATTCAAAAATATCCTTGTTAGCAAGCAAAATATCCCCACCCAGGGAAACAGAACTGCAAGGGAAAACAAATGCTAAATCCTAAAAACATCGAATAATGATAAAAATATCGGATAACCACCATTATACGGTAACTAAATTAACCTAAGTTAATACCTAGTCGCCTTAAGTTTCTTAAGAGATCCTTGGAATCGTTCCTCAGGGTCAACGCATTGATTACTTCCAACTACCAACGGTGAAGGGTGGCCAACTAAGCCCTTAATTTTCTTATCGAAATGGAACCTCTCATCTAATTTACTAGAAAAGGTTCTAAGCCTTTTGCTCCTCCTACCAGGCTTCAAAGGGACATTCGAGGGGACAACAGGGGCGGGCTTGCCATCAACAAAGGCCAGGGGTTTGGCACAAAAAACATCCTGCAAAATGGAAAATTATAAAAAACTGATGAATATAAACAATCAGAGATAACAGCAAAGTTAGAAGATAACCTTAACGTAAGGTCGAGACTGGGGTGACGGGGGGGGAGTGGTGAAATCCTACAAAAGAAACAAGAAATAGATCACCGCTTAAGTATTTTACCAAATGAAATCTTAACAGGGCAGACATATCTAACCTCATCAGAATCCTTCTCTTCCTCGCCTGCAGGGGTTGATTTTGAAGCATTGATGTTGGCCTGCAAGAAAGAATAAAATAATTAAAAAGAAAATGAATGATAACAATCTTAACTGCTAAATCACCGGTTACTGGTTAGTGAAATCCTTAAATCAAAATCACCGGATAAGGATTTAACATAATGCAACTTAGAGACATATCTAACCTCATCAGAATCCTTCTCTTCCTCGACTGCAGTGGTTGATTCTGAAGGATTGATGTTGGCCTGCAAGAAATAATAAAATAATTAAAAGAAAATAAATGATAACAATCTTTAACTGCTAAATCACCGGTTACTGGCTAGTGAAATCCTTAAATTGAAATCACCGGATAAGGATTTAATAAAATGCAGCTTAGTGAAAGGGAAGGAACTACTGACCTGCTCAGATTCCTTCTCTTCCTCGACTGCGGGGGTTGATTCCAAAGGACTGCTGTTTGCCTGCAAAAAAGAATAAAATAATTACAAAAATATGAATGATAACGATCTTATCGGCTAAATAAAAAAGAAGGGGGTACAAAAATGAATAGCAATGTAAAAAAAAAATGGCAAAACCAGATCTCGAACTCGATGCTCGACGGCCTCAGCAGAGTTGTTGACCTGTGGAGTCGTGGGGAAAATTGAATAAACGCGGCGCGAGAAGGAGAACTACCACAAAACAAAAGGGAAAATAATAAAAGGAAACATGATGAAGATCGAACATTACCAAGACAGAAACAGAAGCTCCCACAACCGCACCACTTCCATCGGGGAGGACAGGTAATGTTGGGGGCGATGAAGCAGGGACATCCCCAGGCTTCAGACAAAAAAGTCACTTATAAATTAGTTAGCCACATATAATACTTAGCTGCTAAACTACTATATACAACGATTAATAAATAAAAATCATTTAACAAACATCAGCATCTGAAGGAGGTGGCGAATCAGAATGTAGGGGGCTGAGGGCCTAACAAGCATAAATGTAACAGCATTACAATAACTTGATACATATATTCGTATAATAGCGATAAAACGGATGAAGAAATGAGCAAGTAACTACATTATTATCCACCAGTTTCTGACTTTCACGAGTAGTCTCACTCCCCGACTGAAACAATTAATATATGAATAAGAAATAAAATATTCTAAAAAATGTTCTACAATGACGAAATTTCCTATCTAACTTACCTCCGACTCTCTGGGCGACGATGTTTCCAGGTCATCACCCTAATAATTCGTAATTGCTTATTAGACGTTAGCCGGTAAATATATGGATATCTAATACATAAGTCTTAGCTATACTACGCAACCTGCAAGCTGCTGTCCGGCAAGGTAGCAGACACCTCAGACAATGGGACCTGCAAAAAATAAAAACAAGTTAACAAATAATTAGGAGGCCACACACAAGCAAAAATGAATAAAAAAGGGCATAATACAATCGCCACAAAATATTCACAATTTCCAGACCAACAAAAACGATAAGGAAAATGTTATCAACGTTTTAATGTAAACACCTAACCTTATCTTTATCACCAGGATTCTCGGGAAGTGGCATAGTCTTCTCGCTTTCGTTCTGCCAACAATAAAACATTGTTACAGGCCAAACTGACAATTTAACAACATATAGTAGAGCTCACAACACTAGTATCAACTAACCATTTCATTATCTTGGTTGGGAGGCACACCAGACACATTATTACCATCACCGCCGCCGTTATTAGAATTGTTGTAGAAACTCAATACATCTTCAACACCAGCCATCACGTCAACACGTGTAGAAGACCGGATATTATAATCACCAGCTGGAAAAGAATCATACATAGCATGAGCACCAGAGGCATGAACAGGGGAAGGATTCCCATTTTTCCCAACAGCAGATTGTTTCAAGTTATCAGCGGGGACGGGGTTTCCTGATGTCGCCGGGGTTTTGGAATTATCAACGTCAATAACAGTGTTCTTGACAAACCAATTAATCACCCCTTGAATAATCCTTTTTTCTAGGCCGTCGAGTTTGTCGTCGAGCAATAGAGACAAATCTTCTTTCCCCACATAACCAGAACCTTGACCTTCCTCTAGAATGGGACTATGATGCTTCCTTCGGAGACCAACCGGGTTCCTCCCTTGGTTTTGTGTCTTCCTACCACGGACTATTTTGGATTTACCACCCCTCTTAACCTTTTTTGGCACCACTACCACCTCCGATGGAATACATCCCCCAGTGAACATTTCATTGCGAAAAGTAATCCCTTCACCAACTAACTTGACGATATTATCAACCCTCACATCTTCCTCATCATCAGACCAGGTCAAATCTTCTTGCGGGTTCATCTCCACGTCAGGGCAAATGATAGGCTCCACATACGTCTGCATAGTAAAACATATCATAGATGATTATTGACGTTAACACAAATGATATCAAGATAATAAAATTATCGGATATTAGATTTTTTACCGCGCATTTGTCATCCAAATCTTTCGCATTGCCAAGCTTCAGGGGGACCAACTGGCGAGGAGCGACTTCAACAGCTTCATCTTCATCAGAGTCGGTCCCCACCACCTCATCCATCAACGGGCCTTCCTGAATAGCTGGAGCAGCTTGCAAAACAACAAGCTGAAGAGCGTATAACAGGCCCTGAACGGCAACACAAGTAGTAGCGAGTTGCTCAACTTCCCTCTCTTTAATTGACGTCATCATCATCTCAAAGGACAACCGCCCCCAAGGATAAGCAAGAAAACCCTCCAAATCTTCAGACATCTCAGCGTGTTCCTTCACTATTTTGGGATAATGAGAAGTAGGAATAAGAAACCCATCAACGATGGCCAGGCACGCGTATCTCAGCCTTACGTCTCTATCAGAGACAATCCTCTTTTTCAACATCGTGACAACCCTTTCCACTGTCACGTCTTCTTCAAGCCCAAACAAAGTGCTGTAATAAGGAATTTTTTTCCCAGCCGTCCCTCTTTTCTTCATCTTTTTCCGAGACGGATACTTACCACAAGGAAGGCCAGTAACAAGTTTGAACTCCCGCAGCGAGAAACGAACAGGGGTGCCGGCGTAAACAACCCAAATCTCATTGGGTTTCGCTACATCCAATTGGCGACTCAAAAGGAATATACCAAAACTCGCAGACCACGACGGCTTATTAGGGAAATCCAAAATTCCACCCAGCGAAGTACCCGCAATATACTCACGTTCTTCGTCATCCAATGCTTCGATAATGCCGCAGAGGGTTTTGATTTTGTGGTATACATTCACTCTTTCCCCAAGAGGTTCTTCACCAACAGCGATCAAACGCCTCGGAAGTTCAATCTCTCGCATCTAGCAAGAAAAAGGAAAACCGCCGTTAGAAAATAATAAACGAAAATCTTATCAGCCTCTGAGAAAACCTAGAAAGCAATATAGATAGGAAAATTACTGTGGCTATGCGACGAAGACAATTTAACTCCGGCTAATTGAGACAACACAGAAGACAGGACGACGAAACAACTTCAATTCTCTGAAAAGCTCTGTGTTTTACTAAGACGAAATAGGGATGCGACTCTCCATATAGAAGAAAAATGATGATGACGACTGGTTTCCCCGAGATCATTAAATAAAGAAAATAACAAAAAATACTACACGCGGATAACAATAATGATCAAATAAGATTTTAATGCGGCCGCCTGACACAATATATTTCAAACAGTATAAAAAGATCTTCCCGATATATAGGGGTACATGCGCAATTTCCACATGCACAGTATCAGCCAAACAGTAGCTTTTTCGGGCACCTAAATAACGACTCTTCGGAGTATAGTCTGTTCAATTTCCCTATTTTTTATCCGATCTTTATTAGAGAAGCCTATCGATGTAACTTCTATTATTTTTAGTCGGTCCACGTTTATTGGCCCCATCATGTGATTATTTGGCATGTGCACTGCGTGTTGTTTAAATATAACAAAACGGCATTCCATAATAGAGACGGCATGAGAATAAATCAATACAGAAACCAACTGCGTGCTGTTTTGAAATTTAAAAACGGCAGATCGTTCTCATTTGTAATTGAAAGACGACAAGCGCGAGCGTTGCTTCAGTCTCTCTCTCTCTCTCTCACTTGAAATCGACGGAAGATAATTTCTTAAAAAATCGAAACCGCCAATTTCAAATTCGTTCTCTTCTTCTTCATCACTGTTACAGTATCACATCCCAAGACGGATCTGGAGAATTACGATGCGAACTCGATTTCTCAATATCGATTACTTCTCTACTCCATCTTCTCAGGTATTTGAAACCCTAGGCTTCCTCAATCTTCCGGCTCCTGATAATTTTCCGGCACCTATCGTCTACGACGGAGAAGAAGACCGTCTCCGATTTGGCTCTGTCGAAAATGTCTGTCTCCCGATCGGAAATTTGCCTATTGAAGCTGCTTTGTCGAAGTTCCTTTCCGACGTGGTTCCCGATTGCGTTAGTGTGGACTATGGAGTTTTTGAAATTGATGATTCTTCCCTCGGAGATTATTTCTCAGACGAGGTAAAGTTCCTTGGATTTGGCGATTCTCAGCTTGAGTCTCGCTGTGTATATGACTGCTTCTGTCAATGGTCTTGGTTTCTTATAGTGAGATTGGTTTGTAGATTTTCCGGAATCTTTGGTTTGTGATTGTTGCTTGGATCTCATATTCATACCTGGGTTGGAAATTTTGGTAGCTTAAGGGAATCTGACTGGAGTTTGAATAACATAAGTTATGATCTATCGCAGAAGAATGACGGAGATGCCATTGAGGACAAAGCTGTATTTAACATTATGGAGTTGGAGACTCCGGAGTTGGATTTTGAAATGGTATTGCTCAAGCTGTGTAAACATTGTACCAATTGAACTAGTTCAACCTTTTCTTTCTCCTTGCGAGATAACTTATCTTCCAATATGCAGGAAGGAATGATCTCATCTAAGAGGGAAGATCTCCAATGTTTCTCTGAGGTTCTAGAGATCGAAACTGAACCGGTAAATCCCTGAGTTGATTTCAGTAGAAGTCAAAAGTGTAAAGTTGGCACACACCACAGTAGTTTTGCTTTTGCTGTAGAGTGGTAGAACTGGTTATCCTGTTAGTCTCTGGTTCCGATTCTTCTTTCCGATTGACAAAGCTCTTTGACTAATCAGTTTCATGGAAGATTCTATTTAGCAGTATGGAAAGAGCTAATCTTAACTTGCTGGCCTTGTTGTGTTGATATTGAGTTTTCATCATCTGATTTTAGGTACTCTTCTCATTGCAGGTTAAATATGTCGAATTAGATACTATCTTACAGAACTCAAATGACATCCACCAAAGGATTTATTCTGTTGATTACATTTCTTCTGATTACTTCACAGAGAACAATACTTCGGTAGCAGAAAATGAATGCTCTAGCAAGAATCAACCATGGTTCAAAGATGCCAGATTTCCCCTTCTAGAAGTGGATGAAGTAAACTTGAGAGAACTCTCGAGCTTATCTATGCTTGATAAAGTATTAACTGTTCTTGAAACAATTGAACCCCAAGACAAGAACGCAGTGAGTTCTCTCATTATCAATTCTAAGGAGCTTATAGGCTCTAAGGGTTATGATCTATTGGATATCCTCTCTACGGATTGCTATTTGAACAAAAGTGGTCAATCTGATTTGTTGCCAGAGGATGAATTTTCTAAAGTGGATATAGTGAATATCCTGGAAATATCAAATGCTGAGGAAAACTTTCTGTTTGAACAACAGGGAAAGGTGGCTCTCCCAGTAACTTTTGAGGAATTTAAGATCCTGGATGTGGAGATATCTGATGTTTTTGATATCTTCCTTTGTCTTCAAAAAGCCATTGAACCAGAAATATGTCATGGGATGTTCAGTAAAGAGATGAACTTCAAGAATTTCGATGAATTAGTTGTCAGTTCCGAACTTGCCTTCACAGATGATGCCTTCAAGTCTCTGCCTACTCCTATTTTACATGATTATGAGATGACAAGATCTCTGGATCTCATTTATGAGGATGTTTTGTCAAAGATCAAGCCTCAATCCTTGTCTGCCTCAAATGACATATACTTGCCTTGGAACCTTCTTGAGGAAAGAAACCACAACCATTGTGATTATCCGTTTGAAGAAATAGTTACACTCAACATTGATTTTAAGTGGGAATCTGCAGAAGGAGAAAAATGGGTTTATGATTTCATTTTCTCTGAAGATGCTTTCTGCGAGCCACTTGTAGAGAAATGCACTGAACCTTTCTATGGTATATCTACCCTTGATGAGCATGCTCCTGTTAATACTTCCCATGGGTCATTGGAAAACCTTTTCCAAAAAACAGGAGCCAGGGATTGTGGAGTGGATGATAATGCTAAGAAGGCTACGCTGTTGTTCAAATCAATGTCTGCTTTTGATGACTTAACCTTTTTCATGGATCCTCAGAAGGCTGTGATTGAAGATAATCTCGAGTCTAGAGTTGAAGCTGCTAAGACTGCCAACCATAAATTTATGTCTATTGACTCGAAGGCTTCATGTATATCTGGTGGCATGCACCCAAACCCGAAGACAGAGGAAATGATACTTCACAGTGTGCGCCCTTCAGAAAATATTCTGGCCCTTGTTGGGGACTTTGTGAGGAGCTATTTAACTCTTGTGAAGGATGAGTCAGAGAATTTATCAGAAGATAAACTTAAGTTACTCAGCATATCTAAAGGAAAGCTTATTGACTGCATAAGAAAGGCAAATGTCCACAAAACACAGTTGGCGGATGATAAGACTTTCACGTTTGCATTACTACTAGCAATTAAACAGATGACATGGTATATGTGTTTCTTCGGTATCCATGTGGCATATCTCTATCTTAACAAGTTATGTCGAAGCTCAAATCCCATGAAGCTAGGATTGCATACCCTCTACTCAGCAGTTGAAACAGAACACAAATCAGATGAGACAGACGTCACAAGATCACATCCATCACTAGCTGTTATTCAGGGGATTTTACAGTCAGAATTTGCCCAGGGGAACTCTAAAGCATTACTTTTGGCTGAGAAAGTTTTTTGGTCCTCGCTGAAGAGGCTACTGATGTCCATGGGGTTATCTTGCAATGAGCTCAACAGTCCCTCCCCAAGTGGAAATCGACCAAATGTTCATGAAGCCATGGGGTTGAATACCATAGAACATGGTTTCCTGCCGATTTCAGACTGTCTAATTATCTCTTACGAGTGAGTATAATTTCTTCCTATAGTCATATTCTCTTATCAATGATCGATTCTTTGTTCAATATCTTTTAGTTAAATTGACTTTTGGGAGTAGTTAAGCTAACTAGTCCTTTCTTTTTCATCCAAGGCAAATTTCTCCATCTTTTCCTGTGGAGAATTTCAGCGTCATTGTAGAATATGGAGGTCCAGATGCCTCGCCCAGATTTTCTTTTCCTTCGGAGTTGGATTCCTTTCCTGACTTCCATTTCATAAAAGTTGAGATGGATATGTCCAGTGCATGCGGGCAACTGTGTGCAGGTGTTACAGTACCTTATAGTCTCAAAATGATAAAGGTGAGAAGCATTCAACTTTCAACCTTTTTCTTACAAATTGTATCTGTAGATTGTATAATATGATGGAAGAGTCTGTGTGTGAAGGCTTCAAATTAAGAGCAGAGGTGCAATCTATATCACAATTCACAAATAATGTTTTCACGAGCACATGATCTTGATTGGTTTTCAACTCTGAAAATCATACAAGTTTAACATTAGTATGTACTTGAACCTAAACTTGTGTTGTCACATCACTGGTATTCACGCTTGTTCCATAACTGCATATATTGAACGCTTTGTTTGAATATGATTCATAATATGAACTTATGACTGAACTTTAATATCTCTTTTGTAGGGAGATGAAGTTGAGACGAAAACTGGCTGGTTGGAAGAAGTGTTGAACTTTGTTCCACTTGAAAGTGTGTGTTATGCAGGATCTTCAGAACCCACAAATGAATTTGAATATATCTCCATGCCTCAAGAATCTGAAAGAAAACGTGGGATAATTGAACAAGGAGTTCTCTCTGACCAAAGATATGTGATTGTTGTGAACACAAAAACTGTTGATAAGGAGATGATCATATCCAGAAGAAGTACATACCAGAAGGTGTTAGTAATGGAAAAAGAAGGAGTGCAAGTTGTGGAGCGCGATTCAGATCTACCTGTGGACCTGATGCTAAGTCCTGCAGTTTGCCTACTCTGGTATGATTGTGAAACTGTTAGTAAGAAGTCGGCTGCAACTATTGGTACTTCCTCTAGCTCACTTTCATGGATTGGAGATATCGCAACCAATGTTTTGACGTCATTGAGTTTTAGTTTCAGCACCTGCATTATGGTAAATTCCATGGAACTTTGCTTCTTGCCATTCGTTTGTGAGAACATTGCACTAATATTTTTGCTAACTTGA